ATTTCAAAGTATTTTATTGACAATACATATATAATACAAACATATAAGTTAACATTAAAGGAGATATTTGAACAGTATTGACAAAAGAATAAGACAACAGGCTTTGCCTATATCAGTCTTCTTCTAATTCCGGTAGATATGTACAATGCTTAAATATATAAAATGTTGTGATTCGTTTCCTCTCACACTCATGCACACCCACACCCACACCAGCTTATGTCTAATACTCGTTATTTAAGGGATAAAACTTGCCTGAATAACAATAATTATAACAATACATGAATATTCATTTGGAAATTTATCTAGCACGTATAAGTAACGAAACGTTTTGATGATTTAATATAAGAGTCAACATGTATAAGAATAGTTTTATTTAATTGGTCGGATGCATTACTAATACCATATACTAAACAGTGCAGATTTAAATATCCTACTAAATTATAAGTAGGATATTTAGGTAGTTGTTTGACATGTCTTAGCTTATGTGATTGTATAAATGTTATGTGTAGTAATATGATATATTTCATGTTACAGAGTTTTTACTTACGTAATAAATTAACTGAGAAAAGAACCCAGGAGTTGTCGTATACATTTGTATCCACGATAAAAGACGACTATTACATTTTATCAAATATGATCTAAATCCAAATGATTAATTCATTTACATTACGTTTCACAAGACAAATATGCACGTCATGCCCGTTAATACCTAGGTAGGCCGTCGTACATCATAAAGTCGACATACCGCAAACGTCAAGTAAATTAAAAAAAAAAAACACGATCAAGTGGTGATCGAGTGTTTAGGATAATTCTCCGTCCCACTACCCGTATGATTCAGAGTAAATAGATATTAAGTATATATGCATAGTCAGGTAAATGATAACACTAAGGATTAGCCAGATATACTGTACATAGTCCATACCTTCATTGCTGATAAGCATTATACCTAGAAAAGCAGGTGAACTACCCACTCGTCTCCACCAGTACGGAAGAAACGTGATGGCTGACGAAACGAAGACACCAGAACAGGCTCACGTTGACGGATTCGTCAGAGACGGGTTTGAGAAAGTCAGAGATGCGTTCAGGTAAAAAAATGTCCACTAGATGTATAAATAATGGATTATTGCTTAATATGATACCTAGAGAATACTAGTTTTCTGGCTTTGACATGATTGACAGGCTGCACTATAGTGATAACAACGACGCTATCTTGTTTACCGTGACTTTAATTGTTGAACTTTGATTTTTATACTGTAGTGTTCATTTTGACGCGGCAATAGATCATTATATCAATCGAATACGATTACACGTTTGTACTTAAGTTTATATAGAGTGTTTATAGACATTAACTACGAGTACACTGAAACCATTTTACTAATTTATTTGTATCAAGAACACCCCTCTTTGCTTTGCAACATACCATTTTAAACCGTTTTATGCGTTATATTTAATTCCTGTTAATGACCTATTCTTCCCAATCACAGGTTTTATGCTAGTAAAACAAACAAACCGACAGTGACAAGACAAGATTTTTAATCTTTTAAACCACAATTTACATGTGATATTAAGAAAATATACAATGGGTACATTCAAGATAGAGTACGTGCTGAATAAAAACTGGGATATTTACTTTGGGATGACTTTAACGGTAGAATTGAAAATATTTCGAGTGTCGAAATCGCCATGTAGTACATGAATATTTATAGCAGGTAATTCTCCCGAGCTTGGCATTATTTAAACATTCGTTTATACATCATAAATATTTCGAGGAGGGCATACATATTGATTTGGATGTAAATGTGTCTTTGGGCGAGCTTACTTTAATACTGTAGCGATTACGTAAAAATCAATAAGAAATATGGTAAGTACGGAGACATACACAACAATCAGATTGGAGACAGGAAAACCTCCTACCTCTGGCCGCCTCCTATTCTTACCCGTACCCTTGACCTACTCCTGACTCTTCCCTAAGATTGCCGCTAACCCCCTAACCCTTACTTTAGCCCTACTCTTACAATTGACTCTAGCCCTAGCCCCGACTCCTTAATCTTGCCTCCGATTTGAACCCTGCTCATAGTTTTACCCTTACCCTTGACCTATTCCTGACTCCTCCCTAAGATTGCCGCTAACCCCCTAACCCTGACCTTAGCCCTACCCTTACAATTGACTCTAGCCCTAGCCCTCACTCCTTAACCTTGCCTATGAACTAAACCCTGTCCTTGTGGTATAATCAAACATGCAATAGAAAATCATTGTTATGCTCATGACTTTCAACTTATGTCTTAAAAAAAGTTGCGGTGTTTTATAAACTAGTTTAGATTTATACCACATGTTCGTAATAAGAAATGACGTAACAAAAACATTTTCACGTCACATAATTGATTTCTGCGATCGAAAAAATGTATTAGTACTTTTGAGACTTGATATGAATGTGCCAACATAATTGATTCCTGACTAGAGTTGGTGATAGCATGCCCAACTATTTGAAACGTTTTTGTAAATTCGTTTTAAATTAGTTAACTTCTTAGCAAGTGCACAACGTTGCTAAATGCACTTTTTATTCAGTTGAGTCTGACAGCATGAATTCTATAATATTTTGCACAGATATTAATGCAATGTATTTGATTTAAACATTTTTTATTTGTCATTCAACAAAAAGGATTAGGTACAAGTTTTCTCAACTTAGAAACGCCCTCTCCAATACATTTCATTATATTGATTACATGACAACAACAACAAATATATTTATAATATATATGAACAAAGAAGAAAGGAAGGGAAAAGGGAAGAAAAGAAATTTAGAAGAATAAGAAAGAGAGATGATAGGATAATACTACTGACCTTAAAATCTGTTACTATTTTTAATGTAGGTTTGGACTATATGGAAGATATTTTCATTGTCTTCATCTGACAAATTTGGAGAACCGTACAGAATAACATTTAGAGAAATATTACAATAACGTGAGCTATCATCAATCAAAAGTTGTCTTTGTCTGATATACAGCATACAATCAAAAAAGAAATGGACTGCATTTTCACTGATTTCCACATGCACACATTGGATCACCTACAATATTAACTCTATACAGATCATAATTTAAACTACTACATGAATGACGCAATCGTGTATGTAAAATATTTAGTTTTCGATTTCCTACATGAAAAAAATAGGCAACAAGTAACCTTGGTTACGCTTAATCGATGATTTAAACATGTTAACGGATGGCTGCTCTCTGACAGTATTTGGTAAATCGTTCCATAGTCTTATAGAAGAAGGAATAAAGGATTGGAATGAACTAGACAGACGGAAATTGGGAACAGTGTAGTTTTCAGTATTTCTCAAGTTGTAGCTATTGCGTTCGCATACTTTAGGAGGAAGAATGTTAGTTAAATAAGAAGGTGTTTGTTTATTATGGAGTTTGTACATTAGGGAAAGTTTCTTAAGTTTTCTTCTTTCAGATAGAGGTTCAAGTTGGGATTCTTGATAAAGTGATTGTTTACTAGAAAAAGAGGGTAGGCCAGTAATAATTCTTGCTGCTTCAAGCTGAACTTGTTCAAGTTTAGTTAGATCTGCCAGAGAACAACCATCCCAAACTTCACAGGCATATTCCAACACAGGCAACACAAATACTTTATATATTCTTAACAAAGTTTTCCTACTCAACAGTAATTTAAACTTTCGTAGTACTGATACCTTTTTCATGCATGTTTTTTGAATTTCGGAAATATGTAAAGACCATTTTGCATCTGCACTAAATATTACGCCTAAATGTTTATGACTTTCAACACAATTCAGAGTCTCAGTACCAAAACAAATCTGTAAAGGAAGTATATTTCGCGAATTAGATATAAATAACACATCAGTTTTCTGTTGATTAAATTTAGTAAGCCAGTCCCGTGACCATTTGTCAAGTTTTTCCAAATCTCTGTTTACACACATTTCAATATCAGCATGAGAAGACGAAGAATACATCAAAGAGGTATCATCAGCAAATAAGCGTGAAATACAATTTAAATTATCAACAATATCATTAATATAAACCAAAAATAACAGAGGACCTAACACACTTCCTTGTGGTACACCAGCATTTGTGTAACCTATATTAGAATACACACCTTTAACAAGAACCTGTTGTTGTCTGTTTGAAATGTAATTTTTAAACCAATGTAGTAAACCATCTCTAATACCATAAGCATGTAATTTATGTAAAAGACCCCTATGCCAAACTCGGTCAAAAGCCTTCGATATATCACAAAAAATTAGACAAGTATGTTTTTTTTCTTCTAATGAACAACATATATTATGGTAAATTTCTATTAGCTGATGGACAGTGGAATGATGAATCATAAAACCAGATTGTTTTTCGTAAAATAAAGAATGATCAAGGAAAAAATTATAGATGTGTTTAAATACAACCCTTTCAAAAACCTTACCTATACAAGACAACAAAGTAATTGGTCGGTAATTTGACACCAAGTGTCTATCACCCTTTTTGAACAGAGGTAAAATAATACCATGTTTCCATATTTCAGGGAATATTTTAGAATTTAGTGACATATTAAAAAGAATTGACAATGGCTTACATATAGAATTCGCTGTAAATTTTAGCATATGATGACTTATAGTATCATGACCAGATGCTTTTCCTAATTTCAGAATTTTCAAAATATCACATATTTCATCACTTTCAACCACAATAGAATCAAGTACAGAATCAGTTCTGGAATCAAAACTGGGTAAAGATTTGCCAATATCATCTATGTTTGAGATAGAGCTAAAATAATTATTTAGAATATTTGCTTTCTTATCATCATCATATTCAATATTTCCATATGCAATGTATTCCATATGAACAACCCTTCACAGGGAAAGGAATCATTTGATCATATCTATGTTTCATAGCATATCTTTTACTGATATACATTATATACAATTACCAGGCGTCAACTAAACTCATCGAAAGTGACCCAGAGCTGTTACCATTCATGTAGATGTTTGTGTGTCGTTATTCCGTCTTTGCGTATTGCAGAGTTATCTTCTATTGATTGTTACGTCATTGGTTTGTGTGAGAAAATTGCGTCGTTTTCTCAAAAATTGATGACGTTACTCTCACAAACAAGTGACGTAACAATCAATACCTGCTCCCAAGAGAAGATAACTCTGCAATATGTAAAGACGGAATACCTAACAGAGAAATGTGTCCTTAATCACCTTTTCAGTGTTAATCGATTACTTAACAGACACTTAATAGCTGGTAATTAAGTTAAACATTCTATACATTTTGAGATTGATCTTTTTGCTTGCCTTGCATTAGTCGTCTTCGTATAGCTTGTTATAATGATTCAAATTAACGTACAATATCAAAGGAAGGATATTATGAGATATTAGCCAGGTGGCATAGGACCAGTAGTTAGCGCCTGATAATGTAGCTCCTGCGAATTCCTCAACATGGCATCGATTAATGTAAATGTATATGCTAATTGTACTAATTGTATTAATTGTATATCTATGTACTGTAAAGCGCTTTAGAGTGGCTTACGTTAGCTAGATAGGGCGCTATATCAAATGTTGTATATTATTGTTATTATTATTATAAATTTATCACACGTTTTGATCATTAAAACATAAAAAAATATCTAATAATAGCATATAAACCATTCAAAATGAGGAAATACACACACAAACATACATACTCACTTATATACAAGATGAATGCAAAACGTTTGAAAGCAAAGAAAAGAAAAAGATACATCTTTTATTGTATCTTACCCATTTTCCGATAATAGATTCAAAAGCCATTTTGTATAATGGATAAAAAACATGAACACGACCAGAACGAAGCCTCTAAGTCCTTATCATGAACATTAACAAACTCGAATGTGGTAAATAGAAACTTTAACATCACTCATTGGAGAATACACTAGTAAAACATTAGTTTATTTCTAATTATTCTCTTGCATATCACGAACACAAATAATGTATTGGTTTACCGTAATTCCAGGGCCAGTCTGGAGGATGGTTCTGACATAGGAAGTTCGGTGGCTGTTTACTATGAAGGGGAGCTCGTGGTGAACCTGTGGGGAGGATGGATAGAGAAGGAGGCGGGACTTAAATGGAGAGAGGATACCATGCCTTGTGTCTATTCCTCTACAAAGAGCCCTTCAGCCCTCGTTATCGCACACCTTGTAGACAGGTATTCTAACATTTAGAGAGCAATGGTTCTGATGTTTGCAATGTAACCTCACTTACAAATCACTATATTTTATGTTAACAATGTAGCCCTGCTAATAAATCCACGTCTGTTTTTAGGGAAATTCAACTATTAATCCAACTTGACAAGCTGTTAAACATTTTTTCCTGAAATCTTTTGCAATTAAAACTTTTTAAAAAATTCCTCACTTGGATGTGGAGACTCATTCCGTCTTGTGTTGTAGAGGACTGCTAGACTATAATGAAAAAATCTCCAAATATTGGCCAGAGTTTGGACAGAACGGCAAGGAAGACATCACTCTGGAAACCTACATCACTAACAAGGTTGTATTGTCTGTAGGTTACTAGGAACAGGAATCACAACATCAGAGCATTTATTGATGTTGTCATTTTATTGTAGGAAACTATTCCATTCACAGGATACCCCACACAATAAGTATATGGCATGAAAGAGATCATTATTGAACAAAAATGTGCAAACCAATCTAGGATTACTTTACAGAATAACTGCAAAATACGCATCCCATGTCATATAAAAATCATCATGTTTCCGAAGAATTCTCACATTAATCCGATATCGTAAAAGAAAGTTATATTTGAAAATAACTCTCAAGACTACTAACCACTTGCCTTGGCAGAAACGATCCTTGGCAGAGTATCTCACATATCATAACACATACAGACAGAAAAAAACACCTGTATCGAAAATCTTTATTTTCGCTTTAATTCTTTCTCAACTGTACAACGTTTCACTGTCCTGCTTTGATTTTTACCAAGGCTGGTCTAAGCGGGAATGACGAGCCTCTCTCTATAAGGCTCATGCTGGATGACCCCAAAAAGTTTGGAGAACTTTTAGCCAAACAGAAGCCGCTCTGGGAACCAGGTAAACATGGGTGATATCATCATGTATGAATAAATGTGCGTGCGTACGGATGTGTAAATATCATTCTTAAATTTTGTTTTGGTGACTGTCTGATCTCGTGAAATAAAGTCGTAAGATGGTGTGGATTGATACTGATACTAATCAAACTATACGTTTCCAGGCTGATCATATTTACTGTAGTTCAAACCAGAAACGAAACCGTACACCGAGTAAAGCAAATTGAAAACACTTTTATTCTTCTACTTCTATATCGGTTTTTAGGTCACCTGAGACAAAGTCTCTTAGTGACCTATTGTGATCGCCTTTTGTCCGTCGTCGTCCGTCATCCGTCGTGTATCCGTAAACAATTTACATTTTCTACTTGACCAATTTCAATGAAATTTTGCAGAAACCTTCCATGGCCAAAGGTCAACAAAAATAGTTGCCGGTTTGGTCCCCGGCCCCCAGGGGCCTGAGGGGCGGGGCCAAAAAGGGTAAAATTGACTAAAATTTCAAAAATCTTCTTCTCAAGACCCAGATATGGTAGAATCAAATACTCTTCATAGATGGAAGGGTCTTTAGGTGCTTTATCAAAATTGTGAATTTCATGACCCTGGGGTCTCCCGTGTACCCCTGGGGAGGGGTAAACTTTACTATAGTTTATATAGGGAAATCACATTTTGGACCAACATTTGTTTAATTTCCATTGGAAGTAATTCAATTTGGGTTAGCATTATCAGTATTAGGTAGCAGTTTGATAGTATGCACCTATGAGCCCTGACTGACCCCCAGGGGCTGATGGGTGGGGCCAAAAAGGGTTGAATTGACTGAAATTTCAAAAATCTTCTTCTCAAGACCCAGATATGGTAGAATCAAATACTCTTCATAGATGGAAGGGTCTTAAGGTGCTTTACCGAAATTGTGAATTTCTTGACCCTGGGGTCTCACGTTTCCCCCTGGGGAGGGGGTAAACTTTACTATAGTTTATATAGGGAAATCACATTTTGGACCAACATTTGTTTAATTTCCATTGGAAGTAATTCAATTTGGGTTAGCATTATCAGTATTAGGTAGCAGTTTGATAGTATGCACCTATGAGCCCTGACTGACCCCCAGGGGCTGATGGGTGGGGCCAAAAAGGGTTGAATTGACTGAAATTTCAAAAATCTTCTTCTCAAGACCCAGATATGGTAGAATCAAATACTCTTCATAGATGGAAGGGTCTTAAGGTGCTTTACCGAAATTGTGAATTTCTTGACCCTGGGGTCTCACGTTTCCCCCTGGGGAGGGGGTAAACTTTACTATAGTTTATATAGGGAAATCACATTTTGGACCAACATTTGTTTAATTTCCATTGGAAGTAATTCAATTTGGGTTAGCATTATCAGTATTAGGTAGCAGTTTGATAGTATGCACCTATGAGCCCTGACTGACCCCCAGGGGCTGATGGGTGGGGCCAAAAAGGGTTGAATTGACTGAAATTTCAAAAATCTTCTTCTCAAGACCCAGATATGGTAGAATCAAATACTCTTCATAGATGGAAGGGTCTTAAGGTGCTTTACCAAAATTGTGAATTTCATGACCCTGGGGTCTCACGTTTACCCCTGGGGAGGGGGTAAACTTTACTATAGTTTATATAGGGAAATCACATTTTGGACCAACATTTGTTTAATTTTCATTGGAAGTAATTCAATTTGGGTTAGCATTATCAGTATTGGATAGCAGTTTGATGGTATGCACATATCAGCCCTGACTGACCCCCCGGGGCTGATGGGTGGGGCCAAAAAGGGTCAAATTGACTGGAATTTCAAAAATCTTCTCCTCAAGACCCAGATATAGTAGAATCAAATACTCTTCTTAGATGGAAGGGTCTTAAGGTGCTCTACAAAAATTGTGAATTTCATGATCCTGGGGTCTCACGTGTACCCCTGGGGAGGTGATAAACTTTACTATAGTTTATATAGGGAAATCACATTTTGGACTAACATTTGTTTAATTTCCATTGGAAATAATTTAATTTGGGTTATCATTATCAGTATTGGGTAGCAATTTAATCGTATGCACATATGAGCCCTGACTGACCCCCCGGGGCTGATGGGAGGGGCCAAAAAGGGTCGAATTGACTGGAATTTCAAAAATCTTCTTCTCAAGACCCAGATATGGTAGAATCAAACACTTTTCATAGATGGATGAGTCTTAAGGTGCTCTACCAGAATTTCGAATTTTATGACCCTGGGGTCTCACGTGTACTCCTGGGGAGGGGGTAAACTTTACTATAGTTTATATAGGGAAATCACATTTAGGACCAACATTTGTTTAATTTTCATTGGAAATAATTCAATTTGGGTTAGCATTATCAGTATTGGATAGCAGTTTGATGGTATGCACATATCAGCCCTGACTGACCCCCCGGGGCTGCTGGGTGGAGCCAAAAAGGGTTGAATTGACTGAAATTTCAAAAAAAAATCTTCTCAAAGACCCAGATATGTAGAATCAAACACTCTTCATAGATGAAAGGGTCTTAAGGTTTATGACCCTAGGGTCTCACGTTTACCCCCTGGGGAAGGGGGGGGGGAAATTATTATGGTTTATAATGGCAAATGATACTTTAAATATTACATGTTAATAACTTGATTGGAATTATAACCCTGAGTTGACAGTTTGATACTTTGAAAATTTTGAGCCAGCCCTACCCCCAAGGGCTGTAAGGTGGGGCCCAAAGGAGTCAGTGTGCTAAAATTTCTTCATTTTCCTTGTTTAGAATCAGAGGTGCTAGTTTCAAATACTTTTTAGTCTTAAATCTGTATGCTAGATATTGAATAAGGTGGTTTATTGGTTTTTGTCACTGAATAATATTTCTGTTCGTGTTAAAAACAAAATCAGCTCTCTGTATAAATATATCAGGTGACCGTTAAGGCCCATGAGCCTCTTGTTAAATTTTAAGTTTTAAATTTAAATGTACAAAACGACGTCAGCACACGAGGAAAAATCAAAACTCTTTATTGATAAGACAGAGTTATATGAGACACCAAAACAAAAAGGAAAATATCACGAACTCTAAATGAGGAGTGACTTAATAAAAAACAAATACAATGTAATTCTCTTTAAGAAGCATATACATTGTACCTCTATATATAGCTATCGATCAATAAACTAACATGCGTCCTGCCTTTAAGTTGATTGTTTTCCTATAATATTTTCCACCAGGAACAAAACATGGCTACCATCCGATGACATTTGCATTATATTTGGACCAAATTGTGAGGAGGGTGGATCCAGAGGGACGTAGTCTCGCCCAATACTTCCAAGAGGAGATGGCCGGGCCGTTCGGTAAGGGTTTTTAAGTGATTAATTTATGTTTTCCCCATTTCTCATGCAGTATTTAACTAATCGCCAAATCATGTACCCGATAAAACATTCCTTGAGTGAATGATATTAAAGTCATTATGTATGTAAAGTATGATGTCATTGTGTCACAGCTGTTTGTGTATCAACGTATACTGTAATTTATTTTAAATATAAACAAACTTGGTGAGATGCAAAGATTTGGTTTGTTTGAACTGTACGTACTAAGGCAGCTGACCTGCGGCTGAACAGAAATACTGAGCATACGTTGAAATGTAGGGTCTACTGTAGTTTTTGACGAACCTTTCTCAATATTTTCCCATCGGATTTTAGGACTGTCTCATTTATTCGAAATACAACGTATCGGTTATAAATCTAACAAAGGAATCATGACGAATCTTATTTTAGTAATTATTGCAACAATGCCCTTACGTGTTTTCCAGATATTGAATTTTATATTGGACTCCCAAAAGAGCTATACTACAGAGCTCCCCGTTCGTTTATGCTGCCTAATGCCGATATTTTGGAAATGATGAAAAAAATGCAGGGAGATCCGGAAATAACGAAGGTTGTGAATGAAACCTTCACAGACGTCCTGGTAAACGTTGTTTTACTTTACACATATGGTAGTACACACATGATAGTACACACAATACTTGCTATATTGTGAGCATCTTGTTTCAGAAATATTTTGTATTTTTTTTTTTATAATTTGTTTATTTTTAAAGACATTTTTATTACATAAATACATAAACACACATACACCCACATACATACAATTCCCATTTGCATGGTTTGTCTCTTGCATCGTCATATCTTTCATCATCATCATCCTCATCGGGACTGAATATCATCATCAGCCTTGTCAATCATCATCAATAGTAATACACCATACCATCTTAATACATTATCATCATCAACAACATCATCAATCTATCATCATCATCATCATCATCATCATCATCATCATCATCATCATCATCATCATCATTCTATCAATCTATCATCATCATCATCATGTTCATCAACAGATGCATCCTCAATAATCATCAATACATCAATCATCCTCCTCGCCAATAAATCTTCATCACCATAAATGCAAAATCATAATTGTCAATACATCATCATCATCATCATCATCATCATCATTGCTACCATCAATATATATATATAGAGAATAATATATGCCTTTTTCCATATCACACCCAGTATCAATCCGAGACTGCAATATCAGCCCAAGGGCCGAAGGCCCGCGGGCTGATATTGGTCGAGGGTTGATACTGGGTGTGATATGGATAAAGGCGTGTTTTATTCTGTTTATTACATACTTACTAATAAAAACTACTATCTTATGATTTATTTTCATTTTTGAAATATTGAAAAACTATTTTTTTCCAAATGGGGTGTGATATGGGTTTTGCGGGCTGATATGGGTTTTGGGGTGTGATACGGCGGGGGCTGATACGGGTTTTGGGGTGTGATACGGCGAGAGCTGATATGGGTTAGAGCAATTGTGTAGTATCGCATATACAAAAAAACCCGTATTTATTAGTAAGTATGTAATAAATGTTCTTATATATATATAAATAGTTATTGACAACCATACACAAATACTCATCCCACCATATATTCTGATAAACATACACCTCACACACACATACACCATACAAACAGACTTGTAGAGAGAGAGAGAGAGAGAGATTTTTTATTTCAGNATTACCATCTTAATACATTATCATCATCAACAACATCATCAATCTATCATCATCATCATCATCATCATCATCATCATCATCATCATCATCATCATCATCATTCTATCAATCTATCATCATCATCATCATGTTCATCAACAGATGCATCCTCAATAATCATCAATACATCAATCATCCTCCTCGCCAATAAATCTTCATCACCATAAATGCAAAATCATAATTGTCAATACATCATCATCATCATCATCATCATCATCATTGCTACCATCAATATATATATATAGAGAATAATATATGCCTTTTTCCATATCACACCCAGTATCAATCCGAGACTGCAATATCAGCCCAGGGGCCGAAGGCCCGCGGGCTGATATTGGTCGAGGGTTGATACTGGGTGTGATATGGATAAAGGCGTGTTTTATTCTGTTTATTAAATACTTACTAATAAAAACTACTATCTTATGATTTATTTTCATTTTTGAAATATTGAAAAACTATTTTTTTCCAAATGGGGTGTGATATGGGTTTTGCGGGCTGATATGGGTTTTGGGGTGTGATACGGCGGGGGCTGATACGGGTTTTGGGGTGTGATACGGCGAGAGCTGATATGGGTTAGAGCAATTGTGTAGTATCGCATATACAAAAAAACCCGTATTTATTAGTAAGTATGTAATAAATGTTCTTATATATATATAAATAGTTATTGACAACCATACACAAATACTCATCCCACCATATATTCTGATAAACATACACCTCACACACACATACACCATACAAACAGACTTGTAGAGAGAGAGAGAGAGAGAGATTTTTTATTTCAGTAATAGCACTGTTTTACACATCAAAGTCTGCTAGTGAAAATTCTTTTATTAGGTTAAAATGAAGGAGTCCGTGAAACATTTCCAATTAAAAAAAACATACTTTACAAATTCGGGGAAATAAAAGGACTGTTTCATCATACTGCATATAGGAAAAGGCTATGTGGGTTCCCATGTAGAACCGGGGGTTTCCTCCAGGCCATAAATGACCTGCTGCTCCCATTCAGCTTTTGGGGTCTATCTTCCTTTCTGTGGTATATCCCTAGGTACCCCTTACCTGCCCTTTCTGTGGTATATCCCTAGGCACCCCTTACTTGCCCTTTCTGTGGTATATCCCTTGGCATACCTTACCTGCCCTTTCTGTGGTATATCCCTAGGCACCCCTTACCTGCCCTTTCTGTGGTATATCCCTAGGCACCCCTTACCTGCCCTTTCTGTGGTATATCCCTAGGCATACCTTACCTGCCCTTTCTGTGGTATATCCCTAGGCACCCCTTACTTGCCCTTTCTGTGGTATATCCCTTGGCATACCTTACCTGCCCTTTCTGTGGTATATCCCTAGGCACCCCTTACCTGCCCTTTCTGTGGTATATCCCTAGGCACCCCTTACCTGCCCTTTCTGTGGTATATCCCTAGGCATACCTTACCTGCCCTTTCTGTGGTATATCCCTAAGCACCCCTTACATGTCCTTTATGTGGTATATCCCTAGGCACCCCTTACCTGCCCTTTCTGTGGTATATCCCTAGGCATACCTTACCTGCCCTTTATGTGGTATATCCCTAAGCACCCCTTACCTGTCCTTTATGTGGTATATCCCTAGGCACCCCTTACCTTACCTTTCTGTGGTATATCCCTAGGCACCCGTCTGACCTGCCCTTTCTGTGGTATATCCTTAGGCACCCTTCTGACCTGCCCTTTCTGTGGTATATCCCTAGGCACCCGTCTGACCTGCCCTTTCTGTGGTATACCCCTAGGCACCCCTTACCTGCCCTTTCTGTGGTATATCCCTAGGCACCCCTTACCTGCCCTTTCTGTGGTATATTCCTAGGCACCCGTCTGACCTGTCCTTTCTGTGGTATATCCCTAGGCACCCTTCTGGCCTGCCCTTTCTGTGGTCTATCCCTAGGCACCCGTCTGACCTGCCCTTTCTTTGGTATATCCCTAGGCACCCCTTACCTGTACTTTCTGTGGTATATCCCTAGACACCCGTCTTCACATAACCTTAGCTGTTGCGAGGGGAACCTCAAACAAATACATACAATTAAAAAAACGTATTTAAAGAAAATGCTTCTGTTTTATGGAATAGACCATGAACAACCCGTATATAAGAGAGGTTCCCGTTGGATCAGCCTTCGGACACGGGACTACTGCATCTTTAGCTAAATTCCACGGCATCCTAGCCAATGGGGGCGTCCACAACGGTAAGAGGCTATTGTCAGAGGAGGCTATTCAAAGACAGCTGGAACTCAAGTCCTACGGCAAAGAAGTTGTATATGGAATGGAGTACATGTTTAGCCTAGGAACCATGGTAGTGGCCTCGATGGACGATACACAGCCTGTAAGTGTTCCCTTGTAATCATCTTAACTTGCTTCGACAAAACTCGCCCTCGCTTTTGTTTAGAATTCGAATAATACATGTCCATATTGGTGTCAAAATACGAGATTTTACGACTTGGTTATATGTTGTACTGATAAAACGTGCTAAGATAACATTAACATGTTAATTGACATATTTTTACTTTTAGAAAATATTACAAACACATATATATCGAGGACTTTTCATTGACGAGTTTTAAGTGAATTTCAGAGTTACGAAATGTCTCAAGAAATTGGAGGACTCGAAATTTAAATTGTCCCAAAAACGTTTACAAAAGAAATTTTGGCCAAGTGTTTCGCACTAATGTCAGTGCCACGGATATATTGAAAGACGTTTTGCATGCTCCTTTTCATCTTTTAGTGAAATAATAGGAAGTTCTATGATCAAAGGTCATAGGTCTATTCCATAGAGACGTTAGAATGCTTATGTTGTCCCAATATGTTTTGGAAATATATGCAATAGCTTGCGTATTATGAACCCTATCTCGTTGTTTTTATTTTATTTACGTATGTCATTCATGCACAAGGAGATAATACACACGATATTAAATGCCAAAACTAAAGGCTAAATATTGTCAAATGGTTGTGAGGAACTACACGGCAACAAGTGCAGGGTACAAATTTAGAAAAAAATATGAATATCAAAACATTGCACTTGAGTAGCAAAACTTCCATACGTTTTAATTAATAATGCTATCCTTCTCTTTTTAGCCCGTGTTTTCCTTTGGTCATGGCGGCTTTGGGGGTCAAATGGTCATTGCAGACCCTACTCACAAGGTCGGCTTTGCGTACGCCTCCAACCATTTGAACCTCGACATTGAGAACGAACGTCGCTGGAAGAATCTTTACGACGTGGTGTACGAGTGTGTTTACAAGATTAAGAACATTACCGCCAAAAGGTCGTTTTTCCAAACCTACGCCAAAATGAAAGCCGCACAGGACGCCTAAACATTATTAAGGTCCTTGCAGCCCAACGGTGTTGAACAGGAAAACAATTCAATCATCTTATTCACAAAACAATAATTTCTTGACAATTTTGAAAACAAATGTTGCCTTTCCTATAAACTCTTTGGTCGGACAAGCCAGATAATGAACTGTTATTAACATCTTACTGATCCGCCCTCGTTTGGACGAGATTATTGACTTAACATTTTTCTTAACGGAGTTCCATGTAATTTGTTCATTTTTATCAGATATTGCACTCATATATTTTTCATATTAAAAATCATTATTACCAAAAGTGGTTCTTGATCATTTGTATTGGATTTTCTTTCCGATTTTTGAAACATTTGCCATAGCGTGCCATTCAATATTGACGCATCTTTGTCGTGTTAAAAAGAGGCAGACATTGACTGACCTCTGCTCTTTACATTTACAGCTTCGATGCCAGAAAAACACGCTTTGCAGTGCACCTTCATATTAAGCACTTACGTTATACACCTGTTCGTAATGAAGTGACAAAATAGGTTCATTCTAGATACCAAATATTTCTTGAGCTTTGGGTTATAGACTTCAGACTATCCGACTTCCGGTTTGGTCAACCTTTGAACTACTGGCCAGACATAACACCACAAGTTGGTGACGTACCATAAATCTCTCACGGTACGTCATTTTCGCATTGGATTTTTTTGTTGGGTTTCATTTCAACAAATTTCATTTCATTTAGAAAAAGGATTGAACAACAGGCATAGCCTATATTAGTTCTCTTCTAAAGGTAACAGTGGGTTTTTCCCCCAAAAAAAATTGGTGACTTCGTTTGACACCCACTGTTTGTAAAACTTGATATTCTGTTAGAGAATTATCCAGTGTTTCCTCTGGTAAAACTTGATTTTCTGTTAGAGAGTTATCCAGTGTTTCCTCTGGTAAAACTTGATATTCCGTTAGCGAGTTATCCAGTGTTTCCTCTGGTAAAACGTGATATTCCGTTAGAGAGTTATCCAGTGTTTCCTCTGGTAAAACTTGATTTTCTGTTAGAGCGTTATCCAGTGTTTCCTCTGGTAAAACTTGAGATTCTGTTAGAGAGATATCCAGTGTTTCCTCTGGTAAAACTTGATATTCTGTTAGAGAGTTATCCAGTGTTTCCTCACGTAATATTTGTATTATCATCCGTGGCTCAGTTGTTGAGGGATCATTTTCATCCCAGCGTAAAGATTATACTTTGACATCATTCTCAAAGACACAATGCTAAATTTTGCAGTAAAACTGGTTTTGCCAAACAACCCATCATGGTCAGAAATCTTTGCAACGGATAATCATATTAATTTTACCAAGGAAAGCGGTAGATACGTTTCTACCTTCGAGCAAAATTAAACCAATTGTTGACTAAAAACAAAGTCAGTGAAATTAATTTCTCATAATTTAATTAACATAGAATTCAATGGAAAAATTGCTTTTGGACTTAATGCACGTCATTGTATATCAGCCAACATAGACGGCAATGTCATCTGAAGCGTTGCAAATGTGAAATTATTCCTAATACCGTGCATTTTAGATTATTCATTTACCGTTCGAAGTAACACCAAAATATTTCTTTTCACGTAATAAAATATGTTATTTGACTATACGAACAGCTTATTTATCTGTTTCAACGTGAAATAAAATTACTACAGACTCCTGTCAGCTTACTATGTTGACATTTACCTATGAAACTGTGGTAAATCTAGGCTCTGATTTTCCTTTTCCTAGAAATAAAAAACATTCCGTCCACACCTTCATCGTCAACGTCCACACCTTCATCGTCAACGTCCACACGTCCACAACTTCATCGTCAACGTCCACACGTCCACACCTTCATCGCCAACGTCCACACGTCCACACCTTCATCGTCAACGTCAACACGTCCACACCTTCATCGTCAACGTCCACACCTTCATCGTCAACGTCCACACCTTCATCGTCACCGTCCACGCCTTCATCGTCAACGTCCACACGTCCATACCTTCATCGTCAACGTCCCCCCCTTCATCGTCAACGTCCCCCCCTTCATCGTCACCGTCCACCCCTTCATCGTCAACTCCTACACATCCACACCTTCATCGCCAACGTCCACCCCTCCACACCTTCATCGTCAAAGTCCACACCTTCATCGTCAAAGTCCACACCTTCATCGTCACCGTCCACCCCTTCATCGTCACCGTCCACCCCTTCATCGTCAACCTCAACACGTCCACACCTTCCTTGTTACAGTCCACGCCTTCATCGTCACCGTCCACACGTCCACACCTTCATCGTCAACGTCCACACGTCCACAACTTCATCGTCAACGTCCACACGTCAACACGTCCACACCTTCATTGTTACCGTCCACGCCTTCATCGTCAACGTCCACACCTTCATCGTCAACGTCCACACGTCGACGCCTTCATCGTCCACGTCCACACGTCCACACCTTCATCGCCAACGTCCACACGTCCACACCTTCATCGTCAACGTCCACACGTCCACACCTTCATCGTCAACGTCCACACGTCAACACCTTCATAGTCAACGTCCACACCTCCACACCTTCATCGTCAACGTCTACACCTCCATCGTCACCGTACACGCCTTCATCGTCATCGTCCACACGTCAAAACCTTCATAGTCAACGTCCACACCTCCACACCTTCATCGTCAACGTCCACACGTCCACGCATTCATCGTCAACGTCCACACGTCCACACCTTCATCGGAATAAAACTAAGCACTTCAGCATATGAACAATTGGTACATCAATAGGAAATCTAACTCGTTTTGACTGCAAAACCCGTAAACAACCTGTTAACCTCACACAGGCAATTCACTCTTTCTAAGTTACAATAACCCAGAATGTTTCAGACACTTCCGGAGGATAATATTATGGCTGTATTTTCCATTTTGATAAGGAAATACTTCAAACATTGTAGTATGAATTCAATAAGCACAACTGTGTAACACATAGGCGAAACACTACAGATTCCCCATTGGCAGTTTCATATCTTGACATTTACCTTCAGTTTTATATTGATGATCATTTACTTACAAAACAATTCTTTACACAGAAGTAGCAAATTAGCCTCCGTAGCTAACGGTTATTGATAATTTACTGAATTGTGCCCATAAGATTCGAGTGTCCATCATGGTTCAATGGGCGGATTGGTCGAGTAGTTAACACTCCGGCCTTCCACGCAGCCGACCGGGGTTCGATCCTCGAAGTCGGCGTAAGCATGGATATTCAGAGAAAAGGGTTTTTCTCCTGCCCACATAACTCCAACAACCCAGGTGGAGTATAAATTGGTCTGGGGGATGTTGCGGTATCTGTGCTGTAGCATTCAAGTGAGGTGGCACTATAAATGATGCCGTTGGAAGCACGGTTCCACTACAAACAGAACACATTACATCTACAGCACACACGCAGGCATACACACATAGGGAGATATTAACCAGGTGGCATAGGACTAGTAGTTTAGCACCTGCGAATTCCTCAAAATTGTATTGATTAATGTATATGCTAATTGTATAAGTTGTATATCCATGTATTGTAAAGCGCTTTAGAGTAGCTTGCCTTATGTTAGCGTCAAAGAAAAGACAAATACTCCTCCTTGTGTCTAAGATCGCATTAGACTAACATTCCTAAATTTGACAGCTATGGCAATATAATACAAAAGCCCCAGAGGGCATGTATCGCTCACCTGGATATCGAAACATTATGGCAAAATATTCTCCAAATGAGATCCTAGGGAATAGGCCCAAGGCCAATCCTTGTAGCAATCTGTATTAGATTTGTCATGCCCAGCAATTTTATGTATGGTTATGGGGTGGGGATCTCAACTGTTTCCAAGCTGTGAATCAGAAGCTAGGTCTTTAGGGTTGTGGCCAGACCCCAGGATCTATTCTAATATCATGACTGCATTCGTCTCTTTATGGCCAGCATTTGTATATATAGTTTGGGGGTGAGGATCATAACCATTTAAAAGTTATGACCCGGGGGTTCAGTCTGCAAGGGTGGGCAGACCCCAAGGTCAATTCTAATATCATGACTGCATTCGTCTCTTTATGCCCATTATTTGTATATAGTTTTGGGGTGGGGATCATAACCATTTAAAAGTTATGACCCAGGGGTTAAGTCACCATCCTTAAAGGGTATGTGCATTCAGTTCTTTATATTCAGCAATTGTATATATGGTTATAGGATGGGGATCTCAAATGTTTTCAATCTGTGACTCAGAAACTAGGTCCATAGGGGTTTGGTTGGTACCCAGGTCTGTTCTAATATCACGACCGATTTGTCTCTTTATGCCCAGTATTTGTATATATAGCTTTGGAGTGGGGATCTCAATTGTTTTAAAGTTATGACCAAGGGACTATGACTATGAGGGTGGGGCCAGACACAGTGTTTATACAAAGCTGGTTCCCCTTCACCCAAGGATGCTTCACACCAAATATAGACCAAATCCTTTCATTCCTACAGCAGAAGAAGGATTTTAAAGAATTTGCTATATTTCCCCTATAGGGCCCTGCCCCTCAGGCCCCTTTGGGGCCAGACACATGGTTTATACAAAATTGGTTTCACTTCACCCAAGGATGCTTCAGACCAAATATGGACCAAATCCTTTCATTCCTATAGAAGAAGGATTTAAAGAATTTGCAATATTTCCCCTTTGGGCCCAAACCCTCAGGTCCCTGGGGTCTAAACCCACTGTTTATACAAATTGGTTCCCCTTCTCCTAAGGATGATTCAGACCAAAAATATGGAACAAATCCTTTCATTCCTACAAAAGGAGAAGGATTTTAAAGAATTTGCTATATTTCCCCTTTGGGCCCCACCCCTCAGGCCCCTGGGGGACAGACACACGGTTAATACAAGGTTCAAACCAAATATGGAACTAATCCTTTCATTCTTACAGAAGAAGAAGGATTTTAAAGAATTTGCAATATTTCCCCTTTGGGCCCAAACCCTCAGGTCCCTGGGGGCTAGACCCACGGTTTATACAAAATTGGTTCCCCTTCGCCCAAAGATGCTTCAGACCTAATATGGAACAAATCCTTTCATTCCTACAGAAGAAGAAGGATTTTAAAGAATTCACTATATTTCCCCTATTGGGCCCCGCCCCTCAGGCCCCTTGGTGGCAAAACCCACGGTTATACAAAATTGGTTCCCCATTCACCCAAAGATGCTTCAGACCAAATATGAAACATATCCTTCCAACCCTACAGAAGAAGGATTTTAAAGAATTTGCTATATTTCCTCTTTGGGCCCGTCCCTCATCCCCCAGGGTGGCCAGACACACAGTTTATATAAAATTGGTTCCCCTTCACCCAGGATGCTTCAGACCAAATATGGAACAAATCCTTTCATTCCTACAAAAAAAGAAGGATTTTAAAGAATTTGGTATATTTCCCATATTGGACCCCACCCCTTAGGCCCCTAGGGGGCAAGACCCACGGTTTCGCTTCCGGTTTGTGTGGTGGTACACCTGTTCTCTTCCACTTCCTGTTCCGATTTTGTTCCTTCGTGACATTGTGTTTCCCTACCCAGAATTCTGCATCCCACTTGGTATAAATCAAACTGTTACACAGGTCAATGGTTAGGAAATAAAATCACTTCTCTTGACTATCAAGTCCAATTACTATATATATATAAACTCTGCAAGAAGGCATTTCTAATCACACACGAAAACGTTTATTTGTATATTATCAAGCCGTCAATAACAAGAGGCCCAATGGGCCTGCATCGCTTAACTGGTATAATTCTCACACTTGTAACCTTAAAAGTGATCTAAAATAAAGCTACAGGCAAAATTTCAGTATTTATGATTAAAATTCATTCAAAAGAGCCTGTTAATTTTTTTTGAAAACATTTCACCCCTGTGATTGAAAGACGAACAAAGTCATTATGTTGAACAAATTTTATAGCCTTTCATCTCAGGATGCAACTTGCAAAGTATCAACATCCTGGGACCCATGGTTATTCAGAAGAGGTCGTTTAAAGATTTTGAACAAATTTGACCCCTTTGACCTTGAATATAAGTCAAAGTCATTCACTTTAACAAACATAGTAGTCCTTGATCCCAGCATGCTACTGACTAAATATCAACATCCTGAGCCTTTTGGTTATTCAGAACAAGTTCTTTAAATATTTTGAACATATTTGCTCCTTATGACCTTGAATATGATTCAAGGTCATACATTTAAACAAACTTGGTAGCCCTTGATCCAAGTATGCTACTGACTAAATATCATCACCCTGGGCATTTTGGTTATTCAGGAGAAGTTGTTTAAAGTTTTTAACAAATTTGACCCCTGTCACCTTGAATATGAGTGAAGGTCATTCATTTAAACAAACTTTTTAGCCCTTCATCTCAGCATGCTACTGGCCAAATATCATCACCATGGGCATTTTGGTTATTCAAAAGAAGTTGTTTAAAGTTTTTAACATATTTGACCCCTGTGGCCTTGAATATGAGTGAAGGTCATTCATTTGAACAAACTTGGTATCCCTTCATCACAGCATGCTACTGACCAAATATCATCACCCTGTGCATTTTGGTTATTCTTCAGAAGTTGTTTAATGTTTTTAACATATTTGACCCCTGTGACCTTGAATATAGGGGAAGGTCATTCATTTGAACAAACTTGATAGCCCTTTACCCCAGCACGTTACTGGCCAAATATCATCACCCTGGGCATTTTGGTTATTCAGAAGAAGTTGTTTGAAGGTTTTTTAAGACAATTGACCCTTGTGACCTTGAATATAATTGAAGGTCATTCATTTGAACAAACTTGGTAGCCCTTCACCCAAGCATGCTACTGGCCAAATATCGTCTCCCTGGGCAGTTTGGTTATCGAGAAGAAGATGTTAAAAGTTTTTAACATATATGACCCCTGTGACCTTGAAAATGGGTTAAGGTCATTAATTTTAACAAACTTTGTAGCCCTTCATCCCAATTTGCTTCTGGCCAAATATCATCACCCTAGGCCTTTCGGTTATTAAGAAGAAGTCATTTAAAGTAAAATATTGACGCCGGACGCCGGACGCCGGACGCGGGACAGACGCCGCGCCACGGCATAAGCTCACTTGGCACTTTGTGCCAGGTGAGCTAAAAACATAACGAAGAAACAACCACAAATAAAGATAACGAAGAAACAAAATTAAATCTAGTCACTTTATTTACACATCTTTAATGCAGTTTTAAAGAGCAGATACATTAATGCTATCCCCTAAGTGGTGCTGGAAGCTACAACATTTTGTCATGGAATGGAAAGGTTCAATGAGAAACGAACCGCATTAGGGGACAATTTTCAAAGCTTAGATATTTAGCTTGGTTTTTGCAATGGTCACCAATGACATCATTTATCTTGTGCAACAATATGAAAATGAACACGTGACAATTTTGAGGCCAGTTCCAAGGATACTCAACTTAAATTACATATTTGAAAAATATGGTTGGACTGTCCTCAAAAAATATATATGATTTTAATGCAAAATTAAATTCCTTTGAAACTGGTCCCTTGTATTACAAGTAAAACCTTAATTATATTATAGACAAAATAGCAATAAATACATATCAAGGTATTGAGATCTTTAAGAAGATTGTTTAACTCATTCACCCCTGAAATTTCATAATGAACTGTTCCAACCATTGAATAGGAATAGTTCAAATGTGTCTTCAGGGGTGAATGAGTTCATTTTTCATCCAGAAAACAACCTTACTACAGAACATAGAGGAATCTCTATATTCCTAAGGGATTTCCAGAATAATATTCAATAAAACAAAAACAGCCCTCACTCAATATGCTTGTCTGGATAGCTTGTTTTCTGGATTGTCATGATATGGAACAGACACACTAATTCCCACAGCAGTGCCAAGTAGATCTGTGGCAGGTGAATTTTTTTCATTTTATTTCTGGTCTTTATGCATATACATGTTAAGTAAAGAATATAGTGAAACCTGGGTGTATCAAACACCATGGAGATCAGGAGTTTAATTAGTTAACTTAATTACACAGGTCAGAATTACATAGAAATGTAAGCAGTGTAACCTACCAGAGGTATGGTTTATAAGGTTTCCAGATTGTACAGTGTTCGATTTAGACAAGCTTCACTATACTGCCATAAGCATTTACCTGTAATATTGTTGAACGTCTATATTTCGTGTGATGGTAAAATATTCAAAAATACATTGCTGTAGGTAATGGTGAAAATTATCTCACTAATTTTAAAAGGGAAGGGAAAAAATGGGAAAGATTACTGCAGGCCATATAAATGAAATGTAAATTAATTATAATAATATAGTACCAATGTAATTCCTGTTAAAGGTAGCCTATGTACAAAAATTTACACAATATTGAACAATAAGCCCTTGTCAAATCCTTCGACACCTCTCCAACCTTCCTTTTCTTTCTTGTCCCTCTCTCTCTTTTCATTACTCTTTTCTTTCCTATATCTTCTTCTAAAACAATACAATGGTACATAACACCTAATATCCTGGTTTCAACATGTGAAAATAGCCAAACTGTTTGTTTTTTCTTTTTTTTTTGTATTTGTTTGCTTCTCAACTACAATGTATACAATATTATTCTATGTATCTTGTTTCAAACTTACAAAGAAAATAATTGTTTTTCTAAATATAAGAATGTTAAAAAAATGTCAAGACAAACAAAAAACTTGTGTGAAAATTAAGAATGTGAGACTGAAATATGATGTGTTATGTTTAATGTACTGTTGAAAAAATTCAAAAAAAAAAAAAATAATAAAAAAAAAAAATATTCAGTATTTGTAAATGTATATGGTCAATACATGTGTTTGTGAGAAATAAAGCGTGATAATACTTGACATTTCTGAGATTCAATAAAGGAACTCACCATATCACAAATACAAAAATGTGAGAATTTAAATGTTCACATCAAATGAGATTTTTGTGTAAATCAGTGAAATATTAAACAAAAATAAAAAGGATTAAAGTACATAGATAAAGCAGAATCAATACATATAAAATGAGGAGTGCCAAACCAGGTAGTCTTTTAATATCAAATCAATATCACACCACAGGGGCTAGACAAGTGATCATCACCAATATTTAAACCGTGAATCAATATACTCTTTACTGTTATAGAGCTACAACAATAGCTTCCTGTCAATGCATCTAGTCCCTGTGCATCACAGTAAGGGGGCATATAATCATGAGATTCATGGACAGGCACAAAAACATGGGGAAACAGTTACCCTCATGTGTACAAATCAGTTTCTCTTTTTTGTCTCTATCTTCCCCTTTAATCCCTGTCCCTTATTCTGCCTTTCCCTCCTCCCTTTCCAACACCCTTATTCTGCCCTACCCTCCCCCCCTCTCTCCCACATCTTACATTCAACATAACACTATAAGATTTTTTCTATTCACCATAAAAATCATGATTCAATCGTGCAAGACAAACGGACCATCAGCATTCAGTCAACCAATCCATGTGATATGGTTCAATTGTAGAAAACCTGGTGTCCAGCATAACAATATCATATTTTAGTAAATATATGTCAATTTCACAAAATCCTCTAGTGGTGAAAGTATACAATGATACTTCAATGTTGTTGAGCATAAAAAGGGGAACAAGAGAAGACAAAAGAAAACCTGTTTCCTTTTTCACTGAAATGAAATTAATATGATAATTATATGAAAGCAAACATGGATAAAAATGAAAATAAAGGCTGCCTAAAATAAATATGAGCATAAGTGCGGCATAAAAAGACAAGGTGGTTTAAATAATGTATAGGCGTGATATAAGTAGTATATAATTCAACATGAAATGCAACAATAAATGTCTATAAAAATAATTCTTACAGAAAAAGTGTCATTCGGCTTAATATATATAAATACTATGATACTGGGAAATATTTACCATCATTTAATTTTTGCCCTTTCCATCCTCCACATATCGATCACAGGACAGGGAAATAACACATTTTGTTTCCCTTACATGTTTCAGTGTCTTTAGTTATATTTCCCTCATTCCCTGAAGCCTCTCTAGACAAATGAACCAGAGTTCAGTTCCTACCTCTCACATTATATTTTTATTCAGTATATTAAAATAATAATTGCCTTTGTGGTAGTTTTCCTGCAACAAAGACAATAAATGAATACTTCCCAGGTAAATATTTCACAGTATACAGTTTAATGCCCATATATATTGCTGCTGTTTTCCTGATGGTGTAGATTTAGCTGTCATGTAAATGGCAGTGGAATGATTTTAATTGTTACAATTCTATTTTTTCTAAAACCAAAATCTAAACAACAGTCTGTACTTTTTGTAGAGTTGTTCCCAGATTTACTAGAAATGTAGACATTCCTTAGGAGGATTTTTATAAAACACAAAAGTGAGATCTACTCAAATGTACAATATGAAATACACCTTGTTACATTTCTTACTCAAAAACCTTATTTTTGTGATCATCAATTTCCAAGAAAAGAAGTCAAGCTGAAACAAATACAACATATGTTATGTGTATTTTAGCTAAAATAAATACACATATGTTTTTTGTATTTAAGCTAAAATAAATACACCTATGTTGTGTGTATTTAAGTTAAAATAAATACACATATGTTGTGTGTATTTAAGTTAAAATAAATACACATATGGTGTGTGTATTTAAGCTAAAATAAATACACATATGTTGTGTGTATTTAAGCTAACATAAATACACATATGATGTGTGTATTTAAACTAAGATAAATACACATATGTTGTGTATATTTTATATCATTCCTACTTTATGTCAAAGATACATTGCATTTCTTGTCGTATATATAAATTGTTTGTATTTCATGTCATAAATAAGCACTGCATTTCATGTCAAATACATATCCATTGTATTTCACCCCACACATATCCATTGTATTTCACTCCACACATATACATTGTATTTCACCCCACACATATCCATTGGATTTCACCCCACACATATCCATTGTATATCACATCACACATATACATTGTATTTCCCCCCACACATATCCATTGTATTTCACCCCACACATATCCAATGTATTTCACCCCACACATATCCATTGTATTTCCCTCCACACATATACATTGTATTTCACCCCACACATAGCCATTGTATTTCACATCACACATATACATTGCATTTCACCCCACACATATCCATTGTATATCACATCACACATATACATTGTATTTCACTCCACACATATCCAGTGTATTTCACCCCACACATATCCATTGCATTTCACCCCACACATATCCATTGTATTTCCCATCACACATATACATTGTATTTCACCCCACACATATCCATTGGATTTCACTCCACACATATCCAATGTATTTTTCCCCACACATATCCATTGTATTTCACTCCCCACATATACATTGTATTTCACCCCACACATAGCCATTGTATTTCACATCACACATATACATTGCATTTCACCCCACACATATCCATTGTATATCACATCACACATATACATTGTATTTCTCTCCACACATATCCAATGTATTTCACCCCACACATATCCATTGGATTTCACCCCACACATATCCATTGTATATCACATCACACATATACATTGTATTTCCCCCCACACATATCCATTGTATTTCACCCCACACATATCCATTGGATTTCACCCCACACATATCCATTGTATTTCACTACCCACATATCCAATGTATTTCACCCCACACAGATCCATTATATTTCACCCCACACATATCCATTGTACTTCACATCACACATATACATTGTATTTCTCTCCACACATATCCAATGTATTTCACCCCACACAGATCCATTATATTTCACCCCACACATATCCATTGTACTTCACATCACACATATACATTGTATTTGACCCCACACATATCCATTGTATTTCACCCCACACATATCCATTGTATTACATTGTATATTGTACATGTATATTTTTCATGTCATGCATATACATTGTAATTTATGTCATACCTATATGTTGTGTTTCATGTCATTCACACACACATTGTACATGTATATATTTTATGTCATACATACAAAGAGTGCAATTTATGTAAAACAGATACATTGGGTGTATTTCATGTTATACATATATATGAATATAATATTACAAGTAAACTAAACGTCGAGGAACATATTGCTGTATAGGTACAAACAGGAATGCCTTTGACAAAGGTTGTAGTTGTATATATTTTATAAATTTAATTATCAAGTTACCTGATGAAATTAAAACCTGTATATATTAAATTTGTACTTTATCATAATAGAATAAATTACAGTTATGTTGTATTTACAGAATGCTCCTTTCGAGTTCTTGTACCTGAGAAAAATTGTCTAATGATGTAAGTAAATGACCTTGACCTCAAGGAATCCCTTTTTAATTATATTAAATGATATCATTTAGAAAGACTAGATGTTGGGTTTTGTTATAATGAATTCTACATATTCACAAAATAGCCATCATCCCATTGCTGTGAAAGTAAAATTACTTCAATTAACTACAATAATATTTTGTAAGGATATCATATAAAAAATTAAATTAAATCATGTCTGTATGACATTATACAGGAGTTCTACTAATGAATATTATCAGCAATAGCCATCACTGATAAGGAATTTTTAGTTAAGATAATGAATAAAATGTTTTCCCTCTAAAACATATAAATCATGGTCAAACAAATACTCTCAGAATAAATAAAAAGGGTATTTTATGAGCAGAATCAACATTCACACAACATTTCAACTGGCACAGTGAAAGTCGGTGTCAACAATTCAGATCAGGAACAACATTTTGGTATAAATAACATAACAAACTCCTTCCTATTATAACACAGCACACACAATTCGTCACATTCGGCGCATACATCTTGTAATGATTACATTTTACCAAGAGTCTAAATGAACAAGATTTGACTATAAATGAATGTTTTGAAAACAAAGCAAAAACATATTTCACAAAAAAAATAAACATTTTTATAATATTATGTACCGGTAATAATCTTTCACCAGCATGTTTTTAGATGACTGTAATAGCTGACCATCACCTCCAAGCTAAAGCATGAAAGCTCTAGTGTTGTCAATGGCATGGCGGCCGGTCATGACAGACATTATTGGCAGAAGGTATGGTCTCTCAAGACAGGTGCTTCCTTAAGACAGAGCGGTATACTGTGTTCATTGGTATTCAACAAAAATAGAAATATATACAATTGATATTCATGCCTCAATGGACAGTCATTGACAAATGATTCATTGGTCAATGATTGTTATGATGGCGTCTGAGATTGAACACATCGGATGTTTATTACAAAAACCTTATCAGATTAACAATAACATCATACAGGTATTACTGTATGTTGAGTTATAAATGGTGGAAAACTTAATGGTTCTATAAACCATTCATTTCACATACCATGTTCTGATCACTGACACAGTGTTAGAACGTTAAGGTAGACCCATAGACAATCACAATGAAAAACAATGAAGGTCTATGGAAATTCTTTAGTTATAGACTATGTTGTATTTAAAATTATTTTTCTGCCTGTATTGTAACCCATATTTCTTAATTTCATGTTAAATATATGTATGTCAGTAAAATTTCTTGTCTTAGGTCTAGTATATATACTATATTCCATTGAATTCCATTCTATGGTGAGTAAATTCAAAATGCTAAGACAGCGCATAAAGATTTTTTTTTCATTATTTCTCCTGTATCAATGAATATTCTACAAATTTCATGAAGAAATTAATTTTAAAACCACTTGTCAGTCAGGCTAGTAGTTCTCAGCTTTTCTAGTCAATATGCAAATTCCACTTTAATACATTGTATTAACTTTTGACTAGACAATCGGGCTAGCGATTTTTAGAACACCAAGTCCCACTACGGATTCCACTAGTCTCAGACTATCGGGCTACCCTTATTGTAGAACCCTGTATGGTACTAAACAAGAAATTATTAAATATCCTCCGTATCAGGTTTAAAACCAACATATATGCTCACAAATTTCTACCAGTAGATTTTTTTCTTGCATCTCTGGAAAAATCACCCAGGTGTGTCCAAAAGATATTGCAATGGAACCATATTTATCATTGATTGTTTATATTTATTTGTTCATTAAAAAATTATGTTCATTCATGTAACATTTGATGAAAATAACGAAGTTTTGAAAGGGAGTTCCTGATTTAACGTGTGAAACTTTCAATCACTTATCATGCTTTTGCAGTGGTTAAAATAGTAAGGTTTGACCCTTGTACATATTTCATTTGGCAGCATAATTTCCATCATACATTCACATAAGAATCAACAATGGACATTAATATCACAGGCCCAGTCTGTTCACTGGTTTAAGTACTGGACACTCTAGACCATTGGCCGGTGGTAGGTCCTGGATCGTAGTCCAGATGTAACGTCTCACCACAGACTTGGAACAGGTTTTGACGGAATTCAATCATGAAAATAAGATGACTACTGAAACAGGTATATTTCTGAGAAACTAATTTTCTTGCTTTGTTACTTCGCACATTTTTTGTCCCATTACTGTAAATTTATCTGAAAAACAATAATGAATTCAAATAAGACTATGTTTATTTATAAAGCGGAACACAAAATCAGTAAATATTTTCTAAATAAAACTTTGTGTTAGCTTCAACAACACAGCAATAAACACAAGTACAAATAGAATATGTGTGTCAAATAACCCTCAACTGTGACATCCTTACCTACCAGTAACGACATTGGAGAATTGCAAAAAGAACATGAGTTATCTCCCTTGCCAGGTAAAAAAAAAATTTATCGATGCAAATCAGGAAACACATTGAATGATTAGTGTTTTTATATCTATATCTGAGGACTAAGCATTTTGAAGGGTGAATTGAAAAGTACTCATTTTTCCTTTTTTTATCATGTTCATTGAATTTCCATTCCTGTGATCATATTGCCTATTTTTTTCTTTAAAATGTTAAAAATAGTTTTCTGTTTGTGAAATATCAACATACCAATTAATTCTATGACGATCTTTGGCTTGCCCTTCCAGACAACACCAAGGAAGTAGACGGGAATTCCAGACAGGACAATGAGCACAGCCATGCCTGTGTCATACGGAGCAGCATACAGCGGTACCACTAACAGAAACAGTACAAACAGGAGGAACAGGAACGGAATGAACAGCGGGAACTGCAAGGATAAAAACACTTTTCTGAATAGTCAAAATTCATGAATTTAGTCTAAAGTCATAAGGGCTAGTCAATAATTAAACATAAAAGGGAGGTGGTACTGGTAAGCACATGTAACAATACATTATGGGTGGTGGGATTAAAGTCTTTATCTCACTATAATTCCTTATATCAAATAACTTTTAATATTTGATGGGAGGTGGGGCCTTTAACTCATTCACCCCTGAAGACCCATTTGAACTCTTCCAATTCAAAGGTTGGAATAGTTCATTATGAAATTGCAGGGGTGAATGAGTTGAAGTGCCCCCCAACTCTCCTGTATGGTTAACTCTGGAACAATTTTATGAACAATTGATAACATACAAAATTTATACTGCTTTAATAACTTGTTAATCATTAAAATAATACAAAGTACTTTCTTTAAGTTTATTTTATACTATCCCAAATGACAAGATCAGATGTTATTAACATGCCAGTTTTCATATCAGACCCCCGATTGGCCAAATCTACCTATTTCAGGCCCAAGGGCCAAAGGCCCTTGGGCCTGATATAGGTTGAGGGCAAATATGGGGTCTGATATGAAAACGGGCATGTAATACACACGTACGTAACATTCCTGTCATCGGGGAAATACCTGTCCGTGACTCAAATTCACGGTATTTAACGAGGTCAAACTAGTGTTATTTTAACCATTTGTTTTGGAAATATGATGGTGGATGGCGGTATGTGGGTTGGGCGTTACGACGGGTGCATTAATGTTGGGAAAATCCGGTCTGAGTAAATAATGACGGTATGTGGGTTTGGCGGTTTAATGGGTGGTATTACAACAGGGTTTTACTGTATATTTCATTATATATCTATGTAGTGAGTCAATGTGTATTAGTCGATAGTGTTAGTATGTATGTTTATTATTTATAGATTTCCTGTGGACGGGACAACTAGCACTAGACAACGGGTCAGTTCCACAAGGGCAGACAATAGTAGTTGTACTGACATCATTCTTCAGTGAGGTAGTAGTCCTCAGGTGCTAGACCCTTCTTGGGGGGTTGGTTACATATCCATGATCAGCAGACGTGGAATATATGATGATCCAATTGAAGAAGCGGAACACAATTTTGCGAGACTTGTTCATTTCATCTCTTCCTAATTGTATTGTGTATTGCCCACATAGACATTGGAACTTTTGTCATACTGCAACTGTGACATCACCAATCAGATTAAAGGACATTTAGTGTTGAATGTAGGAATGAGGATTTGTGAGTGTGTGTACATATTTATGGGAATTTTCTTAATTTATGTTGTAAAAAAACATGCAGATATTGTATAACAAATTGTTCTGTGTTCTCTCAGCTGTGGACCGGTCGTCCGACGTTTCAGTCTTAATAAATCTTAACTCTTAAATGTAAAAAAATGAAAGTTACCTTGATTGGTCGATGTCTGTCAGGTTGTGTAAACCGTAGATAGATAAGATTAACTATTGACATTCCAACGGACAGCCATTGAACAAAACTCATGTAGTTGATGAGGGAGGAAACATCATCGGCTATCAGCATGACCAACGACAGGCCGCCCTGTCAAAATAACAACATATTACACAAGTGATTGTACTCTATAGAGATATACAAGATATCATAAATGTGTGAAATCCTAGAAATACATACATGATAGCACACATGCGTAAAACCCTAAAAATACACACAAAATACCATGCACGTGTGAAACCCTAGGAATACACACAAGATAGCACACATGTGTGAAACCCTAGGAATACACACAAAATACCAAACATGTGTAAAACCCTAAAGATACACATATGATAGCATACACGTGTGAAACCCCAAAGATACTAATAAGATAACACAAATGTGTGAAGCCCTAAAGATACAAGATAGCACATATGAGTGAATCCCTAAAGATACACACAAGATATCACACATGTGTGAAACCCAAAAGATACACACAAGATATCACACATTTGTGAAACCCTAAAGATACACATAAGATAGCAAGCTTGTGTGAAACCCCAAAGATACACATATGATAGCACACATGTGTGAAACCCCAAAGATACACAAAGGATAGCATACATGTGTGAAACCCTGGAGATACACAAAGGATAGCATACATGTGTGAAACCCCAAAGATACACAAAAGATAGCACACATGTATGAAACCCCAAAGATACTAATAAGATAACACACATGTGTGAAGCCCTAAAGATACAAGATAGCACATATGAGTGAATCCCTAACGATACACACAAGATATCACACATGTGTGAAACCCTAAAGATACACACAAGATATCACACATGTGTGAAACCCTAAAGATAACCATAAGATAGCACGCTTGTGTGAAACCCCAAAGATACACATAAGATAGCACACATGTGTGAAACTGTAAAGATACACATAAGATAGCACACATGTATGAAACCATAAATATACAAGATAGCACACATGTGTAAAACCCGAAAGATACACATAAGATAGCACGCTTGTGTGAAACCCCAAAGATACTAATAAGATAGCACACATGTGTGAAACCCTAAAGATACACATACAAGATAGCACACATGTGTGAAACCCTACAGATACACATAAGATAGCACACTTGTGTGAAACCCCAAAGATACACATAAGATAGCACACTTGTGTGAAACACTAGAAACTCAACATTACATTAGTTTGGTGTGTTTTGAGTTCCTGCACAATCTGCTGAATGCAGCCTGCTATGTTTGGGGACACAGATTCTCTTAAAACAGTCTGTATTTAAATTTAGTATTGATTGGAACACTTCTGACTACACCAATGTAATTCATTGACCATTGTATTCAGCCATCCTTTAAGTTTATCTGATTGAAAACTTTCAATCAATATCAACATGCTATTTTTCCTGAATCTTGCAATCTTTCCAATGTTTTATTTCTATGCATCGTAAAATATCTTCTGATGAAAGGTGTGGAATTTTGGGAAATGGATTTAGTTTTCAGTTAAACCCTGTATAGGTTTAATCTAAGATTTATTGGTAAAAATGTTACCGTTCTCCTTTATCATAAGTTTTTAATTGACATCAATCATTATAATAATAATGGCAACATCTAAAAGTCTAATATTTTTATTAGAACAAACTGAAAACTGTTGGCAGAATGATTAAGTAGTACTTTCTTGATATCTATAAATAAATGCTGGACAATGGTGCCACAGCTTTCGTATGAACCTCAAAGTAAGTCATTAACAAACTTACAGTGAACAACATGGCGGGCATGGGTGTGTATCTGCGATGATGGATCATAGACAGAAGGTCTGGTAAGTGTCCTTCCTGTGCCCCCACAAAGAACAGTCTGTAACATAAGGAAACATTTAGGGCACATCATAAACATCACCAATTCTGGATTTATTTCTTAACCTGGATGCCATGCATTTTGTAAAATTACCTGTTTGAACTTTCCTTATTTTGTTTGAGAACCGATCAAGACTTGATCATGTCAGTGGGGACAACACATAGCTTAACATCAGTGTAAAATTGTGTGGTATTATATTTGCATGTCCAAGTAACACATGCACAGGCCATTTTTGTATTAACCATGGGAAGGTCTAGATCCATGTTAATGTCATTGCTATTCCATTGTCACATTAATGATCTCCCTCCCACACACTATTTATCTATACTGCTATCATTGATGTTGGTTGTATGAGCCGGTATACCAGCTAGGGTAATGGGGATGTAGAAACCACCCCATTATCCTGGTATACAGGCTTATATAACCATGAAATATATTGACATTTGGGAATTTTTACCAGTCTACACATACACAGCAAAACCTCATTATACCGCCACTTTCTGGTCTCTGTGATTTTGGCAGTATAACGAGTTTGGCGGTATATCGGGTTTACAGTTTTAAACCCAAGTGTTCACACACCAACTGAACTTATACTTTAAAGAAAATAATGATTTACTTCAGAATATGTTTTTTCAAAATGGTGATTTAATGTATCAAATTGTTGAGCGTGCAAAACATACAGCTGATTACCTGGTCAGTCGGCAGTAATTTGTAACAATACAATGTACACACGTACAAAACATACAGCTGATTACCTGGTCAGTTGGCAGTCACATGTAACAATACAATGTACACACGTACAAAACATACAGCTGATTACCTGGTCAGTCGGCAGTCACATGTAACAATACAATGTACACACGTACAAAACATACAGCTGATTACCTGGTCAGTCAGCAGTCACGTGTAACAATACAATGTACACACGTACAAAACATACAGCTGATTACCTGGTCAGTCAGCAGTCACTTGTAACAATACAATGTACACACGTACAAAACATACAGCTGATTACCTGGTCAGTCAGCAGTCACGTGTAACAATACAATGTACACACGTACAAAACATACAGCTGATTACCTGGTCAGTCAGCAGTCACGTGTAACAATACAATGTACACACGTACAAAACATACAGCTGATTACCTGGTCAGTCAGCAGTCACGTGTAACAATACAATGTACACACGTACAAAACATACAGCTGATTACCTGGTCAGTCAGCAGTCACGTGTAACAATACAATGTACACACGTACAAAACATACAGCTGATTACCTGGTCAGTCAGCAGTCACGTGTAACAATACAATGTACACACGTACAAAACATACAGCTGATTACCTGGTCAGTCAGCAGTCACGTGTAACAATACAATGTACACACGTACAAAACATACAGCTGATTACCTGGTCAGTCAGCAGTCACGTGTAACAATACAATGTACACACGTACAAAACATACAGCTGATTACCTGGTCAGTCAGCAGTCACGTGTAACAATACAATGTACACACGTACAAAACATACAGCTGATTACCTGGTCAGTCAGCAGTCACGTGTAACAATACAATGTACACACGTACAAAACATACAGCTGATTACCTGGTCAGTCAGCAGTCACGTGTAACAATACAATGTACACACGTACAAAACATACAGCTGATTACCTGGTCAGTCAGCAGTCACGTGTAACAATACAATGTACACACGTACAAAACATACAGCTGATTACCTGGTCAGTCAGCAGTCACGTGTAACAATACAATGTACACACGTACAAAACATACAGCTGATTACCTGGTCAGTCAGCAGTCACGTGTAACAATACAATGTACACACGTACAAAACATACAGCTGATTACCTGGTCAGTCAGCAGTCACGTGTAACAATACAATGTACACACGTACAAAACATACAGCTGATTACCTGGTCAGTCAGCAGTCACGTGTAACAATACAATGTACACACGTACAAAACATACAGCTGATTACCTGGTCAGTCAGCAGTCACGTGTAACAATACAATGTACACACGTACAAAACATACAGCTGATTACCTGGTCAGTCAGCAGTCACGTGTAACAATACAATGTACACACGTACAAAACATACAGCTGATTACCTGGTCAGTCAGCAGTCACGTGTAACAATACAATGTACACACGTACAAAACATACAGCTGATTACCTGGTCAGTCAGCAGTCACGTGTAACAATACAATGTACACACGTACAAAACATACAGCTGATTACCTGGTCAGTCAGCAGTCACGTGTAACAATACAATGTACACACGTACAAAACATACAGCTGATTACCTGGTCAGTCAGCAGTCACGTGTAACAATACAATGTACACACGTACAAAACATACAGCTGATTACCTGGTCAGTCAGCAGTCACGTGTAACAATACAATGTACACACGTACAAAACATACAGCTGATTACCTGGTCAGTCAGCAGTCACGTGTAACAATACAATGTACACACGTACAAAACATACAGCTGATTACCTGGTCAGTCAGCAGTCACGTGTAACAATACAATGTACACACGTACAAAACATACAGCTGATTACCTGGTCAGTCAGCAGTCACGTGTAACAATACAATGTACACACGTACAAAACATACAGCTGATTACCTGGTCAGTCAGCAGTCACGTGTAACAATACAATGTACACACGTACAAAACATACAGCTGATTACCTGGTCAGTCAGCAGTCACGTGTAACAATACAATGTACACACGTACAAAACATACAGCTGATTACCTGGTCAGTCAGCAGTCACGTGTAACAATACAATGTACACACGTACAAAACATACAGCTGATTACCTGGTCAGTCAGCAGTCACGTGTAACAATACAATGTACACACGTACAAAACATACAGCTGATTACCTGGTCAGTCAGCAGTCACGTGTAACAATACAATGTACACACGTACAAAACATACAGCTGATTACCTGGTCAGTCAGCAGTCACGTGTAACAATACAATGTACACACGTACAAAACATACAGCTGATTACCTGGTCAGTCAGCAGTCACGTGTAACAATACAATGTACACACGTACAAAACATACAGCTGATTACCTGGTCAGTCAGCAGTCACGTGTAACAATACAATGTACACACGTACAAAACATACAGCTGATTACCTGGTCAGTCAGCAGTCACGTGTAACAATACAATGTACACACGTACAAAACATACAGCTGATTACCTGGTCAGTCAGCAGTCACGTGTAACAATACAATGTACACACGTACAAAACATACAGCTGATTACCTGGTCAGTCAGCAGTCACGTGTAACAATACAATGTACACACGTACAAAACATACAGCTGATTACCTGGTCAGTCAGCAGTCACGTGTAACAATACAATGTACACACGTACAAAACATACAGCTGATTACCTGGTCAGTCAGCAGTCACGTGTAACAATACAATGTACACACGTACAAAACATACAGCTGATTACCTGGTCAGTCAGCAGTCACGTGTAACAATACAATGTACACACGTACAAAACATACAGCTGATTACCTGGTCAGTCAGCAGTCACGTGTAACAATACAATGTACACACGTACAAAACATACAGCTGATTACCTGGTCAGTCAGCAGTCACGTGTAACAATACAATGTACACACGTACAAAACATACAGCTGATTACCTGGTCAGTCAGCAGTCACGTGTAACAATACAATGTACACACGTACAAAACATACAGCTGATTACCTGGTCAGTCAGCAGTCACGTGTAACAATACAATGTACACACGTACAAAACATACAGCTGATTACCTGGTCAGTCAGCAGTCACGTGTAACAATACAATGTACACACGTACAAAACATACAGCTGATTACCTGGTCAGTCAGCAGTCACGTGTAACAATACAATGTACACACGTACAAAACATACAGCTGATTACCTGGTCAGTCAGCAGTCACGTGTAACAATACAATGTACACACGTACAAAACATACAGCTGATTACCTGGTCAGTCAGCAGTCACGTGTAACAATACAATGTACACACGTACAAAACATACAGCTGATTACCTGGTCAGTCAGCAGTCACTTGTAACAATACAATGTACACACGTACAAAACATACAGCTGATTACCTGGTCAGTCAGCAGTCACGTGTAACAATACAATGTACACACGTACAAAACATACAGCTGATTACCTGGTCAGTCAGCAGTCACGTGTAACAATACAATGTACACACGTACAAAACATACAGCTGATTACCTGGTCAGTCAGCAGTCACGTGTAACAATACAATGTACACACGTACAAAACATACAGCTGATTACCTGGTCAGTCAGCAGTCACGTGTAACAATACAATGTACACACGTACAAAACATACAGCTGATTACCTGGTCAGTCAGCAGTCACGTGTAACAATACAATGTACACACGTACAAAACATACAGCTGATTACCTGGTCAGTCAGCAGTCACGTGTAACAATACAATGTACACACGTACAAAACATACAGCTGATTACCTGGTCAGTCAGCAGTCACGTGTAACAATACAATGTACACACGTACAAAACATACAGCTGATTACCTGGTCAGTCGGCAGTCACTTGTAACAATACAATGTACACACGTACAAAACATACAGCTGATTACCTGGTCAGTCGGCAGTCATGTGTAACAATACAATGTACACACGTACAAAACATACAGCTGATTACCTGGTCAGTCAGCAGTCACATGTAACAATACAATGTACACACGTACATAACATTCCTGTCATCGGGATATACCTGTACTCAACTCAAATTGGTGGTATATAACGAGGTCAAAATAGTGTGATTTTAACCATTTGTTTTGGGAATATGATGGCGGATGGTGGTATGTGGGTTTGGTAGTCTAACAGGTGGCATTACAACAGGGTTTTACTGTATCTTTCATACAGTGCACATCCTTATATGACCATTAATTAACCTTATTAATTGAAAGAAAAATAAGATACAAATATAGATATTACCTTTGTAGTATTGTTTCAAAATTGCGATGATAAACTTGTTGATCCTTGGATTTTGTTTTATTTATTGTTTTGATGTCCTTTAATTATATATAACTTGTTCCAATATATACGACACTGTACAATCTGTATCTAAAATACTGGCATATCTTATCATAAACATGCTCAATAATGTTTACATATAGCCTTGTAGCCTGCTCCATCAATGTAAAGAGACACTTCATACAATACTAAAGGTCATGATCAGTACAACCATTATGGAGCTCCTTATCAGCTAATTATGTGTGATACACCCACCAGAGGGCAGCATCAGGATACATCAAAGTGTATGTTGTCGAGGCAACCCAATGAAGACAAATGGGACATGAATTGGAGACAGCTGGTGGTGTGTGTGCGATATATACCTATCCCTCTTTGAAAATATAATACTATCTTATTCATATGTACACATGCATTTATCTGTAAAACTATATGGTGATTGCAATCATTGGAGCTTGGAAATCATAAACATTTGTAAGGATGACATCTGTGATGATACAGGGTAATAATGAGTATTGATTATGTGGTAGTATGTTGGGGTACAGACAGGGAGAATGGCCCCATTTCTGAAAAACAGGACTCTTGAAGTCTAATAGTTGGCCTAAATGAGTTCTTTTTTTCTATTCTTGATTTCTAAAACATACTTTTTCAATAGCACATTCATGTCAAATTCAAAAAATAATGTTAAACTCTTTATGCAAAATATCTTCCTAAAGTATCAAATTTTTTAAAACTGAGCCTTTACTCAGAACACAATGTGCCAGATGGGTGAGCAACATGTGTCGTAGAATGCACTTGTTGATAATACCCCTCCCACATAAATAGTGTCTAGATCTACTGACAATGTACACCCGTGTTTAATGATACCCCTCCTACATACATAGTGTCTAGATCTACTGACAATGTACACCAGTGTTTAATGATACCCCTCCTACATAAATAGTGTCTAGATCTACTGACAATGTCACCAGTGTTTAATGATACCCCTCCCACATACATAGTGTCTAGATCTACAGACAATGTACACCAGTGTTTAATGATTACCCTTCCACATAAATAGTGTCTAGATCTACTGACAATGTACACCAGTGTTTAATGTTACCCCTCCCACGTGAATAGTGTCTTAGATCTACTGACAATGTACACCCGTGTTTAATGTTACCCCTCCCACATGAATAGTGTCTTACATCTACTGACAATGTACACCAGTGTTTAATGATGCCCCTCCCACATAAATAGTGTCTAGATCTACTGACCATGAACACCAGTGTTTAATGATACCCCTCCCACATACATACTGTCTAGATCTACTGACAATGTCACCAGTGTTTAATGATACCCCTCCCACATACATAGTGTCTAGATCTACTGACAATGTACATCAGTGTTTAATGATACCCCTCCCACATACATAGTGGCTAGATCTACTGACAATGTACACCAGTGTTTAATGTTACCCCTCCCACATGAATAGTGTCTTAGATCTACTGACAATGTACACCAGTGTTTAATGATACCCCTCTCATATACATAGTGTCTAGATCTACTGACAATGTACACCAGTGTTGAATGATACCCCTCCCACATACATACTGTCTAGATCTACTGACAATGTACACCAGTGTTTAATGATACCACTCTCACATACATAGTGTCTAGATCTACTGACAATGTACACCAGTGTTTAATGTTACCCCTCCCACATAAATAGTGTCTAGATCTACTGACAATGTACATCAGTGTTTAATGATGTGTCAAGGAAATATGTCATGATCAAAAATACATGTTTTATCGTTAACTGCACATTACCCATAATGCAAGGGCAAAATTGAAAAATAAGAAGTGTTTTGCTTCGTGACACGAGGCATGCAGTTCAGACATGATAGCACATTGTACAGGAAATGTAAAGCTGAGACTAATTGCACATTAAACATGTTGGATCTCTAAAACACATGAGCATCAAAGAAATATGTGTACCGAGACCTTTTTGCCGAACATGCACGACAGCGTAGATACATTTGTGCAGGTCGTTTGGTTGAGCTTGGGCCTGTGATGTGGAATGGGACATGTAGTGTACCTTGTTACAGGAACACATACACGTTACATAATATTGTACAAATGTCCCGGATCTTCTACTCATAGGTAGTCAACTAATCGCACTACCGTTCTGATACTTAGTCCTACCATCCCAATACCGATCTCATTAATTAGTAAAATCTGACATTTAGTAGGAAGATTCGTGCACTGATGATGCAATATCTCCGGATTCACCAAGTACTGCCTATTTATCTGTACCACTTTAAACACAAAAATCCCTTTAAAGGGTATCCTTATCTGATCAGTACTGGAACCCTTAATTAAACGCTGCTAGTTTTCATAAAAATATATGTATATTAGAGCAATGGAGGCAGTTATCAACAGTCTAAGCTTCAAACATGTTTTTCCAGTTTACCGTTTTGCGTAAGTTATTATATGATGAGATTTCGGAGAAGTCGGGAAACGTACTCTATTTCATCATCTGCAATAAGCGTACATGTGACGAATCACGGGAGGCATTAATGACAGGGGCAGTTATCGACAGGTGGAGGTAGTTATTGACAGCTAAATTAAAATGTTAATTATTTCTATTATTAATCTCTCATAATACATTCATTTGTTCTGATGTGTGTCCAATTGCTTAAAAAAGTATAAACATGTCAAGTGATATGTCAAGTCATATGTGTAAACAAACGCACTCCCTTTTCTACACGCATGCGCAAAACAGTCACCGTCACAGCATTTTGATCAAACACATTTTCTGGTTCCCTTTCAATATGGTTTCCCACCCCAATTTCATATTCTTTTGATCCCCAGTGATGCATTCCAACAGCCCAAAAATTTTGAATTATGATGCATTTTATCCTACAATGATAGAGATCAGAAATTTAATTCAAGAAAACATAATTGAATCTTCTTAAAATAATCATTGTGGAAATGTTTTTAGGTTCTTAATGTTTACAAGATAATTAGTTATATACCTCCTGCCTAACAGAACAATTTTCATCAACACTTATCTATGTAATTGTTTACTTTTCAATATAAATTATATTCTGTTTATATATGGCTGCATTGTCTTCAAATATTGATTTTTTTCTAAATTTGTAATTACAGTTTATATTGAGCATATTTACAAGACTTATCTACATGGATTTTATGGAGAACTTTGGATTTTTTAGTATTTTAGTTATGCTTGTAAAGTTATGTCTTTTTAGTGGATAGACTTTAGCAACACTATTGTTGTCGGGTACATGTTCTCACTTTACACAATTCACCATATATATAATGAAATCATACAGGCAACTTTGAAGTACAAGTCATTCATAAAAATATGATTTTAATGGATAAGACAGAAATTAATTTGTATTTTTTTCACATGCTGTCGATAACTACCTCCGAAACTCAAATTGAGGCAGTTATCGACAACCCTATTTCCGACCTTAACAATACCCCGGATGTAGATCGGATGCTGACAAACGTTGCAGACGCTTCATGAGTGAAGTTGGATTACAACATTATGTTACAAATATTTCTGATATTTTTTTTATCAAAATTTGAAGTGCCATCCATATCTTATCGGTGCCTGTAAGGGAGGTCCAAAAACAGGATTGATTTTTCTCTTTGGAAAAAAAACAGTTCAGAAAATTTATTTAACCGATGTTGTCTGAATGGAACGGTTCCGAGGGATTCCGAAAAGGTATCAAAAACACTGATTGTCTGAAAAACGGTTCGTAATCGATCAAAAACGTGATATATAGAACCGGGGTCGATAATACCCCCCTGTCGATAACACTCTCCGTTGCTCTAGTGTAAACTTCCTGCCAGAGGCCTACCAGTTTGAATCAGGAGTAGCTCAAAGATAAATTAAAATGTACAATTTCCCTCTTCAATTTAAAAAAATATATCATGTACAATCATTCAAAATCAACTAGCGTCTGAGGTCAATATTTCTTTTCTCGGGTCGATAAATCCAGGTATTGACCGAAGTTAAAGGCTACAATTGTTTTATTATTTTACAAAACAGTAATGTAAGCAATCTGGAAAAAAAACACAACAAAAAAGCTTCGGAAGTGGGACGGTGCATTGTTTGGAGATATGTCATAATTCTATTTTTAGAAACATCCAGTCCTTCAACAAAAATCATGCGCTCCAAGTCAATATCGGTTTTTATCGGTGGACATGTGATGCACTCCTGGCCAATCACTTGTTGGGAATAATATGAAAAAATAATAATAAAACATAAAATTTTCACTTGCTTTTTAAAAATCAATACTCTTTAGTTCATGAATCGTCACGCAATCTACGAGCCTATGGGTCCAGGTATGTCCCTTTCATTCCATTATACATGTAAACTATGTGATGAAACTTAAAACATGGCTGTACAAAGAAACTTTACCTTCCTGATGTGAAGAGTAGACCATTCACACCTCCAAATGTGGAGAGTGATACAAATACTGGTACAATCCAGGCCATGACGCTAAACACTTTGTATCCAAACGTCTACAACATAGAGAAACATGTGTTTTTCTGTTTTGTTAAAATGGTCAATTCTGCATCAAAACTAATCTTGATTGTTTTACATTTCATAGAAAATAAAGATGAATTGGAATGATTTTAAGATTCTGTTATCAAATTATTTACATAATTATGTAAAATTGCCTATTTTTTTTTTATAAAAATGATCATGGGAATTTGTCTTTCACCTAATATCAACACAGTGTTAGTTGCAGTGTGACAATCATAGCTACATATAGAAATTTACTGTTAAAATTTCGAGGGGCTAATATTTTGTTCATGGTTGTCCTGATCGGAAACATTTCACAGGGATTAGATTATAACCCTTTCACCACTGTAGACCACAATGGACTCATCCAGACCAATGCATGTTAGAGTTTACTAAAGTTACATAGGGGTGAAAGGGATAAACATGTGACAACTGCAGATCGATGGATAGGCTCACTTTACAGGTGTTTTGTTTACTTTTCTAAAAAAGAATGAACATCAGAATTTTAATTTTACATATTATGTTATAACAACTCTGGTAGGGTAAGGTTTGAAATGAAACTGTATCGACACTGAAGCAGCATGCACACCAGGTTGAAGTTGATCAACTGCATTTTTCAGCACTTAACAAGTTAACACATCTATACACTTTTAGTGTTTTTATATATACATGTATTTACAGATATTATAATTCACATTATAAAATTTGATGTGTAATTAATTTTCTGTGATTTTTGATAATATAACTACATCAATAAATATATAAATGAAATAGAACAAAATTAAATCCTCCACAAGTAATACCAACTACCAGTATAGAGTGATGGTCGCTATAGTCATACCAACTACCAGTACAGAGTGATGGTCGCTATAGTCATACCAACTACCGGTATAGAGTGATGGTTGCTATAGTCATACCAACTACCGGTATAGAGTGATGGTCGCTATAGTCATACCAACTACCGGTTTAGAGTGATGGTTGTTATAGTCATACCAACTACCGGTATAGAGTGATGGTCGCTATAGTCAAACCAACTACCGGTATAGAGTGATGGGTGCTATAGTCATACCAAATACTGGTATAGAGTGATGGTTGTTATAGTCATACCATCTACTGATATAGAGTAATGGTTGCTATAGTCATTCCAACTACCGATATATAGTGATGGTCGCTATAGACATACCAACTACCGATATATAGTGATGGTCGCTATAGACATTCCAACTTCCGGTATAGAGTGATGGTTGCTATAGTCATACCAACTACTGATATATAGTGATGGTCGCTATAGTCATACCAACTACTGGTATAGAGTGACGGTTGCTATAGTCATACCAACTACCGATATATAGTGATGGTTGCTATAGTCATACCAACTACTGATATAGAGTAATGGTCGCTATAGTCATACCAACTACTGGTATAGAGTGATGGTTGCTATAGTCATACCAACTACCGATATAGAGTGATGGTTGCTATAGTCATACCAACTACCGGTATAGAGTGATGGTCGCTATAGTCATACCAACTACCGGTATATAGTGATGGTCGCTATAGTCATACCAACTACCGATATATAGTGATGGTTGCTATAGTCATACCAACTACTGGTATATAGTGATGGTTGCTATAGTAATACCAACTACCGATATAGAGTGATGGTCGCTATAGTCATACCAACTACCGGTATAGAGTGATGGTCGCTATAGTCATACCAACTACCGATATATAGTGATGGTTGCTATAGTCATACCAACTACTGGTATATAGTGATGGTTGCTATAGTAATACCAACTACCGATATAGAGTGATGGTCGCTATAGTCATACCAACTACCGGTATAGAGTGATGGTCGCTATAGTCATACCAACTACCGATATATAGTGATGGTTGCTATAGTCATACCAACTACTGGTATATAGTGATGGTTGCTATAGTAATACCAACTACCGATATAGAGTGATGGTCGCTATAGTCATGCCAACTACCGATATAGAGTGATGGTCGCTATAGTCATACCAACTACCGATATAGAGTGATGGTGGCTATAGTCATACCAACTACCGATATATAGTGATGGTTGCTATAGTCATACCAACTACTGGTATATAGTGATGGTTGCTATAGTAATACCAACTACCGATATAGAGTGATGGTCGCTATAGTCATGCCAACTACCGATATAGAGTGATGGTCGCTATAGTCATACCAACTACCGATATAGAGTGATGGTGGCTATAGTCATGCCAACTACCGATATAGAGTGATGGTCGCTATAGTCATACCAACTACTGGTATATAGTGATGGTTGCTATAGTCATACCAACTACCGGTATAGAGTAATGGTTGCTATAGTCAGATCATGTGATTAAGTAATTTTGTACTGATGAAGATCAGGGAAGAGAACAAGGTTAAAATTAACAAATACTATAATAGTAGAATCAGAGAATATAACTGGAAAGACATAGAAATCATCTCCTAGCACAGCTTTCAATGTGACTTAGATCAGAGGTTGGTTGTTTGGAATTTTATGTCTTTATTAAGGTCATATAATGTCAATGAGGTCAGTGATAGTTGTCAGTGAGGTACACACCACAGCGACAGCATTGGAGTTCAACATCTCGTAAGGTGAAATGATGGTGAGGTAGGCCACGTTGGTCAGGATATATACGCCTGTTACTATAGGTATAGAGATGTAGATAGCTCTTGGCAGGTTTCTAGAAGGAAGAATAAAAAAATAATTACCTCACAAATCTGAAATAATTTCTTGATAGGTAATGAAGTCATTAATTTCATATTTTAGAACAGTATGCATAAACACATTGTGTTTCTATGTTAAATATTGAGGCTTGTGTTTCCATGAGAAGACACAAGATCGGCTGCTAAGTCAGCAGATGTACAAAAATTCAAATTTCTACTGTTATTTTGTATAAGACTTGGACATTCAAAAACCAATTTTAGAAACCTTCACAACACTATATGGTTGATGAGACTCCTTAGGACAGCAAATTATCCACAAACATCAGTCTCTATGGTTGATGAGACTCCTTAGGACGGCAAATTATCCACACACATCAGTCTCTATGGTTGATGAGACTCCTTAGGACAGCAAATTATCCACACACATCAGTCTCTATGGTTGATGAGACTCCTTAGGACAGCAAATTATCCACACACATCAGTCTCTATGGTTGATGAGACTCCTTAGGACAGCAAATTATCCACACACATCAGTCTCTATGGTTGATGAGACTCCTTAGGACAGCAAATTATCCACACACATCAGTCTCTATGGTTGATGAGACTCCTTAGGACAGCAAATTATCCACACACATCAGTCTCTATGGTTGATGAGACTCCTTAGGACAGCAAATTATCCACACACATCAGTCTCTATGGTTGATGAGACTCCTTAGGACAGCAAATTATCCACACACATCAGTCTCTATGGTTGATGAGACTCCTTAGGACAGCAAATTATCCACACACATCAGTCTCTATGGTTGATGAGACTCCTTAGGACAGCAAATTATCCACACACATCAGTCTCTATGGTTGATGAGACTCCTTAGGACAGCAAATTATCCACACACATCAGTCTCTATGGTTGATGAGACTCCTTAGGACAGCAAATTATCCACAAACATCAGTCTCTATGGTTGATCATATTGCCTTATTATTAAGCTTTTAAATTTTACAAATCAACCATTTAGTGACATTTTAAACAAATTAAACATTCTGTATGGTGTTGTACAATCCTACATAACAGTCTTATTATCAAAAAAGGTACAGCTTTGATACTTATATTTCACCAATACTAACTATACATATACACCTTATAAAGTCAAAATCATTTTAAGGAAACTTACTTGAAAGGATCAATCATTTCTTCTGTCACAAAGTTAAGGAAATTCCTAAAAGAATGGAAAACCAAAACATTGATGTATTTCCATCATTTCAAGATCACAGTCAACCTCACATTAAACAGTGTAAGTTACATGCTTGACAATTTTTACTAAAACTTTTCCAATAATTTTGTTTTTGAACGTAAAGCAATGAAAAACTCTTGTAACAATGTTGTTTAATTTACTACAGGATCAAAGTGACTCAGAATGTAAAATGCCACAGCTGTGTAGAAGATTCCATGTTTTTATTAAAGCTTTTGCATGTTCAAGTGTATATAACGATTATTTATGAACTGTAGTACCTGTACAACAGTAATCGTTACTCTGATAAAAAAACATGTCTCGTCTCATCAAACAAACAACAACAATGACTTGCATAAAATAGGAATGCTGATGTGATGTCATTTAAGTGATGGCTTTTTTGGCAACCACCATTTCTCTAATGTTTCCTTTATCTCTATGACAACTACCATTTCTCTGATGTTTCCTTTATCTCTATGACAACCACCATTTCTCTGATGTTTCCTTTATCTCTTTGACAACTACCATTTCTCTGATGTTTCCTTTATCGGTATGACAACCACCATTTCTTTAGTGTTTCCTTTATCTCTATGACAACCACCATTTCTCTAGAGTTTCCTTTATCTCTATGACAACCACCATTCTCTAGTGTTTCATTTATCTTTATGACAACCACCATTTTTCTAGTGTTTCCTTTATCTCTATGACAACCACCATTTTCTAGTGTTTCCTTTATATCTATGACAACCACTATTTCTCTAGTGTTTCCTTTATCTCTATGACAACCACCATTTCTCTAGTGTTTCCTTTCTCTCTATGACAACCACCATTCTCTAGTGTTTCCTTTATCTTTATGACAACCACCATTCTCCAGTATTTCCTTTATCTCTATGACAACCACCATTTCTCTGATGTTTCCTTTATCTCTATGACAACCACCATTTCTCTGGTGTTTCCTTTATCTCTATGACAACCACCATTTCTCTAGTGTTTCTCTCTAGTGTTTCGTTTATCCCTATGACAACCACCATTTCTCTAGTGTTTATTTTATATTAATGACAACCACCATTCTCTAGTGTTTCGTTTATCCCTATGACAACCACCATTTCTCTAGTGTTTCCTTTATCTCTATGACAACCACCATTCTCTAGTATTTCCTTTATCTTTATGACAACCACCATTCTCTAGTGTTTCCTTTATCTCTATGACAACCACCATTTCTCTGATGTTTCCTTTATCTCTATGACAACCACCATTTATCTGATGTTTCCTTTATCTCTATGACAACCACCAGTTCTCTAGTGTTTCCTTTATCTCTATGACAACCACCATTTCTCTAGTGTTTCGTTTATCTCTATGACAACCACCATTTCTCTTGTGTTTCCTTTATCTTTATGACAACCACCATTCTCTAGTGTTTCGTTTATCCCTATGACAACCACCATTTCTCTAGTGTTTCCTTTATCTCTATGACAACCACCTTCTCTAGTGTTTCGTTTATCCCTATGACAACCACCATTCTCTAGTGTTTCCTTTATCTCTTTGACAACCACCATTTTCTAGTGTTTTCTTTATCTCTATGACAACCACCATTTCTCTAGTGTTTCCTTTATCCCTACGACAATCTCCCTTTCTCCAATGTTTCCTTTATCTCTATCACAACCAGCATTTGTCTTATGTTCCCTATCTCTATGACAACTACCATTTCAAAAACTGTAACTCGGATTGTCAATAAGTATTTCAGCCTTTTCATCATCATAAGTACTTTCACAACATACAGCTTTTGAAGCTGTTATGATATTTCCTGAAGCAATGTTTCAGATTATTGGAGTCCAATGTAAACCATCAGTGTCTCTTGACAAGGAAAACTTATAATTTAAAAAAATGTTTTGTTTATATATACTTATATCATCTCAACAATGGATGAATGTCAGTACCTGTTTATCCTCACTACATTATAATTGTAGAAGCTTACCATCCAGCATAGGCAAACAGTCCATTGTATAAAGCTAGAGATATGCCAGCGACGTCGCCACCCTTCCCAGCACTCCGTGTCCAGGGATCCTTAAAGTATTCTGTCTCACCTGTAATACAGCAATACCTCAAAGGTTAGCAACAGACTTGGTATAAAAACTTATTGTCGCCTCAAAGGTTAGCAACAGACTTGGTACAAAGACTTATTGTCACCTCAAAGGTTAGCAACAGACTTGGTATGAAAACTTATTGTCGCCTCAAAGGTTAGCAACAGACTTGGTATAAAAACTTATTGTCGCCTCAAAGGTTAGCAACAGACTTGGTGCAAAAACTTATTGCTGCCTCAAAGGTTAGCAACAGACTTGGTACAAAAACTTATTGTCACCTCAAAGGTTAGCAACAGACTTGGTACAAAAACTTATTGTCACCTCAAAGGTTAGCAACAGACTTGGTACAAAAACTTATTGTCACCTCAAAGGTTAGCAACAGACTTGGTACAAAAACTTATTGTCACCTCAAAGGTTAGCAACAGACTTGCTACAAAAACTTATTGTTGCCTCAAAGGTTAGCAACAGACATACGAAAGGTACAAAAACTTATTGACGCCTCAAAGGTTAGCAACAGACATACGAAAGGTACAAAGACTTATTGACACCTCAAAGGTTAGCAACAGACATACAAAAGGTACAAAAACTCATTGACGCCTCAAAGGTTAGCAACAGACTTGGTATAAAAACTTATTGTCGCCTCAAAGGTTAGCAACAGACTTGGTACAAAAACTTATTGCTGCCTCAAAGGTTAGCAACAGACTTGGTACAAAAACTTATTGACGCCTCAAAGGTTAGCAACAGACTTGGTACAAAAACTTATTGTCGCCTCAAAGGTTAGCAACAGACATACGAAAGGTACAAAAACTTATTGACGCCTCAAAGGTTAGCAGCAGACATACGAAAGGTACAAAGACTTATTGACGCCTCAAAGGTTAGCAACAGACATACAAAAGGTACAAAAACTCATTGACGCCTCAAAGGTTAGCAACAGAATTACGAATAGGTAAAAAAACTTAGTTTAGTAGTAGACTTAATTAGTATATATATCGGTACATAACATTCAATTTTTTCAGGTTTTAAAGGGAATCTCAATTTACTAACATTTTTGGTAATACTTCATAGAGTTTTGTTGACAAGAGTTACTTACCTTGTCCAATAAGGACAAAACCTGTGATGATGATGATAATGAGGGACAATATCTTAGCAACGGTGAAGATATCCTGTATACGCGTGGCCGCCTTCACACTGTACACATTCACAAAGGTCAAAATACCTGTAATACAAAATTCACGAATGTAACAATATTGATGGGTATAAATTTCTAAAATACAAGAATATAATTGAACCTCAATGTACGTTATTAATACCCCTCTTTTATTATACAAGTAAAAAATCAATACAATGCCCCTCTAGTATAATACAGCAGTAATTCAACATAATGCCATTTATTAATTACTTCTATAAATGACCCTAGTCCCCCCCCCCCCCCCCCCCCCCCGGCCTCTTTTAATTAAATTTAATGCCCTTCATTCAAACCAGTTTAATGCCCCTCTCTATATTCAATATAATGCCCCTCTTTCACCTCAATATAATTCCCCATATTTACAATTAATATAAATCTCAATATAATGCCCCCCATTTAATTTGATATTATGCCCCTCTTTTATGTACAGTAGAACCTCAATATAATGCCCCTTATTTACCTCAACATACGCCCATCTTTTACATATAGATAAAACACAACATAATGGGATGGGTTGGGGATCCTTTCATGGCCGAATAGTTTCTTTTGATGTAAAATGACATCCCTTTTTTTTTTTTTTTTTCATAACTAACCATCTTACTGATCATGTGTCTCCTGAATCAGGGACTGTACTTTAATTGAGGAGTAGTAAAGCTTACGTTTTGCCCTACTGTCAAAATCCTTTTTGATGTTAGAGAAGCAAAGAATGATCAAAACTAGAACGCTCAGGATTTAGTACAGATAAATTAGAAGTGTTGTGTAGATGTTTAGTCATGCGTGCAGTATCACGAGGATAGAGGTAATTGTTATATAGTCAATAGTCTTACATCTGTAGTCCCACAGAGCCAGTATAGTGTCACATTGTAAGACCAACTAATTAAAATCTAGGTCAAAGTCTCAGGTATTCTAACTAAGTACAGCAGAAGTTGCTGTGACAGAATTATTACAAGACACAGACTGATGTAAATTATCTGATCATAAACTAGATTTAATGTGAGGGCTTCTTGGCCCCACAGATCCCCCACAATCCACATTTCTGTTCCTATATAAGTATTGTTGAAGATTTGACATAAAGTGTCCTGACTATCACTGGTGGACCCTTACCATTTATTTTTTTCATTTTCATTATTATCCTCTATATTCCATATATCAAAACGTAGCCAGAACGCGTTTTTGAAACCTGTACTACAATTTACTATAGTATATGAGGTCTCAGTCAAAGGTCAAATTGAGTTCGTTGTGACCTCATTTTAAACCTGTATTATAATATATTTGCAATTGGGGTCAAGGTCAAAGGTCAAACAGAGGTCACAGTGACATTATGCTTATATATGACATACCTACTTCAAGTGATGTACCTATACATGTGTATACAAAGTTTGATGCATATTCATGATACTGTGGCTGAGATAATGCTCCAGTAACTGCCTGCGATCAACAATATGTATGACGGTGTATTGGCTTCACAAATTTGTTTTTTTAGAAAGTATTCACGAACAGTGTGCTCAATACATACAATCTTGTTAACTTTCCAATTGTCTCACTTATTAATCAACCCAAAGAAAAGGATTCACGATCATCAATCTACGAGATTTTATAAGTTTCCTACTGTGGAAATCTTTTGGAACAGAGATTCCATAGCATGCATCCTTATGTGATCATTTTTAATTTCAATTCATCTCAATACTGAAGTCTACCTATAGCCAATTGATGTCTGAGGTTACAGGACGGGACTGTGCAGTATGACGATTACATGACGGGACTGTACAGTGTAACGATTACAGGACGGGGCTGTACAGTATGACGATTACAGGACTTGACTGTACAGTGTAACGATTACATGACGGGACTGTACAGTGTAACGATTACATGACGGGACTGTACAGTATGATGATTACAGGACTTGACTGTACAGTGTAACAATTACATGACAGGACTGTACAGTGTAACAATTACATGACGGGACTGTACAGTGTAACAATTACATGACGGGACTGTACAGTGTAACAATTACATGACAGGACTGTACAGTATGATGATTACAGGACTTGACTGTACAGTGTAACAATTACATGACAGGACTGTACAGTGTAACAATTACATGACGGGACTGTACAGTGTAACAATTACATGACGGGACTGTACAGTGTAACAATTACATGACAGGACTGTACAGTATGATGATTACAGGACTTGACTGTACAGTGTAACAATTACATGACGGGACTGTACAGTGTAACAATTACATGACAGGACTGTACAGTGTAACAATTACATGACAGGACTGTACAGTATGATGATTACAGGACTTGACTGTACAGTGTAACAATTACATGACAGGACTGTACAGTGTAACAATTACATGACGGGACTGTACAGTGTAACAATTACATGACGGGACTGTACAGTGTAACAATTACATGACAGGACTGTACAGTATGATGATTACAGGACTTGACTGTACAGTGTAACAATTACATGACGGGACTGTACAGTGTAACAATTACATGACAGGACTGTACAGTGTAACAATTACATGACAGGACTGTACAGTATGATGATTACATGACGGGACTGTACAGTGTAACGATTACAGGACGGGGCTCATTGGAAACCTATTTAAGGAGGATGTAATGCTAAAAATCTTTGTATACTTTCTAATAATCATTACTAAATATAATTCTTTCAACAAATTTAAAAGTTTTACAAAACATAGTGCCTGTGAAAGGAGAGAACATATACCTCAGGAGACACAGCATTTCAGAGAACTCATTTTTCAGAGAAATTAAAAAACATCAGCAGATGTGACAATTTCTATTTGGTGGTCATTACATGACAATGATAATTGAACTTATCAGTTGACATCACGTGAGTAGATCCTGGTTTTATTTGCTAACAAATCATTTGAATCATGTGGTGGTTTGGTAAGGTGACAGCTGATGCTATATTACAAGTGGTTGTGGTTTATGGTGTCAGTTTTATCGGTCTGTTGTGGTTAAATAATGATGTTCTGCCATCAAAATGTTTATGCAATGATGTAGCATGCTTTTAAATTTGAAAGGTTTAAAAAAATGTACAAATGATGATGATCGTTGCTTATTAAAATGTCAAAATATTTGAAATTATTTATTTTTTTTACATTTCTTTTATGAATTTTATCTGAATATCATTTAATGGTGGTATAGTATTATTTATGGTCTATGTCATAAAAAGTGAGTTCTTATATGTCTGACAGTGACTGTTTATCTCATTCACCACAAGTGTCTTGTATAGGACAAAAAGGATGTGATGAATGATTTTGTAAGGGCCCCGTATCTTTTTCACTTGTAAACTGATCGACACCAGAGCTTCAGTTTGATATACAGGTATGTAGGTATATGTGAGCAACATGGTATAATGATTTGAAACTAACACGGATGATAAGTAAAAAAAATCTTAAGATATAACCAAATCAAAAAGCCAATATTTTGATTCAATCTAAACCTAGTGACGATAAACCAGCTGGCAGAACATTAACATGGCAGGAGGTAATTGTCTGTGAATTGACATTTCCTGCGTCTAAAACAGGACGCTATATTCTATTATAGAGTGGTGTGGATGCTATATTCTATTATAGAGTAGTGTAGATGCTATATTCTATTATAGAGTAGTGTGGATGCTATATTCTATTATAGAGTGGTGTGGATGCTATATTCTATTATAGAGTAGTGTAGATGCTATATTCTATTATAGAGTAGTGTAGATGCTATATTCTATTATAGAGTAGTGTAGATGCTATATTCTATTATAGAGTAGTGTAGATGCTATATTCTATTATAGAGTAGTGTAGATGCTATATTCTATTATAGAGTAGTGTAGATGCTATATTCTATTATAGAGTAGTGTAGATGCTATATTCTATTATAGAGTAGTGTAGATGCTATATTCTATTATAGAGTAGTGTAGATGCTATATTCTATTATAGAGTAGTGTAGATGCTATATTCTATTATAGAGTAGTGTAGATGCTATATTCTATTATAGAGTAGTGTAGATGCTATATTCTATTATAGAGTAGTGTAGATGCTATATTCTATTATAGAGTAGTGTAGATGCTATATTCTATTATAGAGTAGTGTAGATGCTATATTCTATTATAGAGTAGTGTAGATGCTATATTCTATTATAGAGTAGTGTAGATGCTATATTCTATTATAGAGTAGTGTAGATGCTATATTCTATTATAGAGTAGTGTAGATGCTATATTCTATTATAGAGTAGTGTAGATGCTATATTCTATTATAGAGTAGTGTGGATGCTATATTCTATTATAGAGTAGTGTAGATGCTATATTCTACTATAGAGGCCTTTTTTATGTTTGTACTTTATAATAGTTGTCATGCGGACTTGTAAAAAATATTCAGCTTCTGTTCATCATTTTTTTCATAATTTATATTTATCAAAACGTTTCATTGTTTTAAGGTTTTGTTTGAGTATCAAAATTATCAAAGGTTATTCTAACATAAGGATATCCAAAATTCTTAAAATACAGAAAATACCTTAATTCTAAAAACTTTTGATTTATCTGTTGAATAAGCAAGCAGACCAAAGAATTCTGTCCCTGTTTATTTGACCTACCATGGTACGTTACATGTTTATGACATTACAATGACAGTGTAATGGGTGTAACAGTTAACTGTTTACAAACACAGCGTAGACAGGAAGTACCATAATAACTCAGACAAATCACTTACTGCCTGTTGAAGGTGTTAAGTGTCAAAATATAGCTAGCAATGAACACAGGGGGAGGAGTTATCAATTTTAACTGGAGTTTGGGGGAGCAATCATTGTGCAAATTTGTTTATTTCATGTTTTAATCCTCTAGATATTACCTCCACATGTACTGGTGGCATACTGATGGGTGTTTTATTTCCACAGTGCCACCTCACTTGAATGTTACAGTACAGACACTGTAGCATCCACCTCATTCACCCCTACATATCTAAACTGGACTTGTCCAGTCATTGATTCGGTAAGGTTCAAATGTGACTTAAGGGGGGAATGAGTTAAAAGTAAATCCTAATTCAATGCTACAATGACTAAGGGGAATAAACCTTTGGCATCAATGTCTGCATTGACCGTCATAGTGTGTTCCACTCTGCCAAAATTAAACCACCAGGTATCATTCTACATGTAGTACAAATTGTTGTCTCCCCTTTTTTGACTAAGGGTATTTAAGGGTCATGAGTGGATGATATACTTACATATAAAGCAGCCAGAAGCTTGACAGCAATGAGAATGAAGAGAGTAACACTTACCATCAGAACTGTAAATCTGGGGGAGAAGGGTTGGGGATGCTCAGATTAGGGATCTTACTGATGCCCAAGGCAGACAGGAGCTTATGGGCTGGGGAAAGGGGTTCAGGGAAAGGGGCTAGGGAAAGGGGTTGGGGACAAAGATCTCTCATACTTAACACAAGACAGCAAGGAGCTATGAGAAGGGGGGGGGGGGGGGGGGGGGGGGGGGGGGGGGTGAGAGTAGAGGGTTGGTATTAAGGATCTTACCTACTTTACATAAGACAAACCAGGAGCTTGAGAACTGTGAGAATGGGGTTAGGCTAGAAAATAAGGGGTTGGAGATGAGGATCTCACTTACTTAACACAAGACAGCCAGGAACTATGAGATGGGGTTAGGGTAAGGGGGTAGGGGATAAGGATTAAGGATCTCATTTACTTATACATAAGACAGCCAGCTAGAGCTTTGGAGCCATGAGATTGGGGTGAGGTAAGGGTAGGGGTTAGGGAGGTAAGAATATCACTTATTTATGCATAAGGCAGCCAGCTAGAGCTTTGGAGCTATGAGATTGGGGTGAGGTAAGGGTAGGGGGTGGGAGGTAAGAATATCACTTACTCATACATAAGGCAGCCAGCTAGAGCTTTGGAGCCATTAGATTGGGGTGAGGTAAGGGTAGGGGTTAGGGAGGAAAGAATATCACTTATTTATGCATAAGGCAGCCAGCTAGAGATTTGGAGCTATGAGATTGGGGTGAGGTAAGGGTAGGGGGTGGGAGGTAAGAATATCACTTACTTATACATAAGGCAGCCAGGAGCTTGAGAGCCATAAGAGGGGGCTCACATGTTGTAAAGCTTGGTTGTAGTACATAGTAGGCGAAAGTCAATGCCACGAGGGCCTGGGCTGTAGGTCGAATGATGATCAGATTTGCCTGAAAACAAAAATGTATTTGTCACTTTTAAAAATACAAATTTAGATTTGACCCTTTAACCTTAATTGAAGACCACCAAATCTGAATCTGAAGTAAAAACTGTTGTTTCCATACTATTATATAAATGCATGTATAAACTAAATAAACTAAACTAATTTATTAGATATCATGTACAAAAGCTTTTTACTTGGGATGGATGCACACACAAACCCAAACACTTACAGAGTGATTACTGTATATATATATATCCATTATCTACTTGGAGGTTAAATTTAATATTGAGTCCAAAAATGAAAGCTTTTCAATCATTTTCATCCTAACAGACCAAATGACAACTAAACTTGGCTAAGTTTTGTAAATTTGATATTAAATTTTATAAGGAAAATTGAAATCAAACAGGCCGAAACTACAGCTAATACAATTAATCCGCCCTGCAACATGTGCCATATGTAATTTGCGCATAGTTTTGATAAATGTTTCATACAACTGAACGTTTTGTAAAATGATACTGTTGGGAAATGCAGCATGACTGCCTTTAGCAACGGCATGAAATGACATGTACAAAAATGTCTGGAGTCTAGCAAATCAGCGTTTATTTACACTGCACATAAACCACTGAAATAGTGTACATAGGTATCAAATTATCAATTCATATAATAAATATCTGTTCTATTGACATTGCTAACCCTTAGTGGGAAGCAGTCATATTCTGTACTCTCACTTCATAAACCAATGCACAATGAAGCGTGTTATCTGCAATGTTGTAATGATGACACAGTCAAACACGAGGTTGATCATGTGACAGTCCTAGGTTGATCATGTGACAGTTAAACTATTGAATCCTGGAGACACATGTTTACCTGCACTTTGTTTACTTTGTCACAGCAACTAAATGGTCAGCATATTAATCTTTTTTTGTGTGTGCTTGATATCAATTTTTGGCCAAATCAAAGCCGAATTGTTTTCAAAAGGAGCACCGATTAACTGCTAAACCAGGAAAATGGGCCGATGACCAATGGATTTTTTTCCAAATCCTTGCTGCTACCTGATCTAAATAGTTTCCCTGAAAATGCTGTTAATGAATTTGTCTAAAGTCCTGTTGTTAATAGTAGGACTATGGCATTTACCAGAGCAATGTTCATACCTACAGGATAAATCACTTCCTGTTACACTTACCTTATATAACTCATTGTGAAATCATGAGACATCACTTCAAACATTTCACATGACCCAAACTATTATATGAGGTATATTGTAGAACAGAAAAAATCGACATGGTTTGGGTTACATAAAACACATCACATGCTATAACTAGTTTTTTTTAAAGTTACATTTTGTATGTGACTTAATGCTTGGAATGAAAGAAATGACCCTGAATATTTTTGTTTTGGTTCGAGATCTTCATTAAACTTACCCATAGTTGCAAGAAAGCCATACAAGGCCCAAACGCTTCCAACATGTACGCATAGTCCCCGCCAGATCGTGTGATGGTGGTGCCAAGTTCTGCATAGCAAAGAGCTCCAACCAGGGAGATAATACCACATCCTGTCCATACCACAAGAGACAAGCCAACCTGTGAATTCAAAGTATCTTGTTTGAATGTGTGTAAAACTCATATCAATTCTAAAAGGTAACAACCGTCTTTCTTAGCAATTAGAATATAGTTTACGCGTAAATGTATTTGTATTTAATGTGTTATCATTCAATTTTCAATCTCCATGGTGCAAAAACAATCAGCAAAACAACAAAAACTCAATAGGTTGAACAATATTAATATGCTTCGTTTGAATACACAATAATAAAGCGGAGAGCTGGAATATCAGAGAAAGTGTTTTTCTCCTGCCCACACAACTCCAACAACCCAGGTGGAGTATAAAATGGTCCGAGGTGAATGTTGCGGTTCCGTAATGTATTATTCAAGTGAGGTGGCACTATAAAAAAAAGATGCCATTGGAAGCACGGTCCCACTACAAACAGAACACAATACATCTCCAGCACACACGAGGGCATACATACATAGGGAGATATTAGCCAGGTGGCATAGAACTAGTAGTTAGCACCTGATAAGGCAGCTCCTGCTAATTCCTCAAAAATTGTATATCCTAATTGTATTACTTGTATATCTATGTACTGTAAAGCGCTTTAGAGTGGCTTATGTTAGCTAGATAGGGCGCTATATCAAATGTTGTGTATTATTAAAATCAAGGAAGAGAAAAAGGGATAACAATGACCTTGGCTTGGTCTTTGTAAAAGGCCATCCAAGGACACCTGTTTACTGGTAATTATTAAAAGGACAAGGAAAATAAACAATTATTTAATGTTCCGTTATGGCCTAAAGGACATCAATATTTATCCCATTTGCTCAAGTTCATTGAATCAGGCTCCTACAGCCCTGGGTCTAACATCACTTTCCCATCTAATGCTGACTGTCATCAAGAGGCCAATATTATTGTGTGAATGTCAGCAATCTTCTGCCTGGTCATGTCTCACCATGCTTGAAAGCCCACAGGCAAACAGGCTCCAGTTTTCTCGTCAATATCATGTCCATTCAATACACAAATCACCAATGGTTTAAGCTAAAGCGAATTTCACACAAGTGTGAACAGTGGTTAAATCAATCTGAGCAGACGACACTTCAATGGACAAAAACCTCATAGAAAACTTCTAAATACGTCACTACAACCTGATTTCCTTTTTTATGATAATGATTTTTCTGGGGGGTTTTGTATTCAGTTGTGAGGTGTTATATATATACTGCTGAGCCCACACCTAATATAATGTCTCCCTCAACTGATATCACTGCCTCCCAGGCCGTAACTACTCTGTATCATTTTATTTACATACGTTTATATGCCTGCAGTTTTTATTCTTGAACAACTTGAGCCTGAATTTGTGATTGAAGGAAAGCTACTTCTGTATTAATTATCCAGGAAATTGACATTTGCACCAAAATAGATTAAAGTTAGTCTCTTTGCCAACTTATTTGAAAATTTTAATCTTTCATTGAAAAAAGTAATTTACATACTCTACAGTAAAACAGCAGATTACACTTTTTGAACATTGATTTTGACCCACAAAACTTGACATGGATTCTGTCAACCTTTAAAACAGACCTGCAACATGTTGTTTTACTCTTTACTTAAACACAAATAAAACTTAATTAATGGTCAAAATTGAAGTTCATTTTATCAATTTTCCTTCAGATTTGGGTAACTTTGCCCTCAAGACTCCTGCCATGGTTTCACTGCTAGTATTTTGCATGTATACCTGATCATATTAACAGTGTGCTATGGTCCTAATTTGGAATATTTAGTTTAGAAAACATATACCCAGGTATTGCCCTTGTTGTAGGGAAACTTTGTTAATAATTTTTCATCCATGAGGGCAAAGCTTGAGAAATTAAACATGTTCGTTGAGGGGAGCTAAGAATCATGTTTCCCTCCAACAAGGGCTATAAATGTATAATATCGTAGAATACCTCCCAAGAAATCCAACGTAAAACATGAGCTTAATTGCCTTTTGTGGCTATGAAGCTGTACATCATCGTTACAACTGACACTCCTGTGGACTTAGGTTTATACAGCATGCACACTTCTTCAGATTTACCCAGTAGGGATAAAAGCCAACGACCATGTCTCTCATGAATATTATTCTATGAATGTTGATGTCCTTGCTCTCAGACAAACATCCCTGTAATGGAAATATCGCCTTTACTTTGTCTTAAATTCAGCACTGATTCGAAAATCTTCATCGGTCCCGATCAATTAATCAATATGGGCTCCAATATAGCAACGAAACCTCCACACAGAGTTCTATATATGGGAGCACAAGAGTAGCCGCAGAGTTAAAGACTTGTTTTAAATGTTAACAATAATCCCTCGGGTTTGACGGCAATGAAGCACAATACAGTGACTACATGGAAATAAAATTATCATGTAATGTCCCAGATTTAGTGTGAAATGTCCATACTTTGGTGGTCATTACTGCTTTGTTACAAATCATCGTGTCACTGAAGTGTTACAAGCCCTGAATGGTGACGTAAAACTGATGTGTTTCACAACATGGCATGGTGTCGCATGGTGACGTAAAACTGATGTGTTTCACAACATGGCATGATGTTGTATGGTGATGTAAAACGATGTGTTTCACAACATGGCATGATGTTGTATGGTGACATAAAACTGATGTGTTTCACAACATGGAATGATGTCGTATGCATTTACCCAAGATTTCCTTATCAGCATGAGATTACTAACAGCATGAGATTACTATCAGCATATCATGAGATTACTAACAGCATGAGATTACTAAAGTCTTTCTCTTTAGTGTCTTAATACAAATTAATTTCATCAGATATTCAGTTGACATGCAATAGAAATGATTGAATATTCTGATACCTGATGACATTCTAAAATAGCTGTCTTGTTTATTCAGGTATATGCTACACTTTAGATAGCTTTCAAGATATAACCAGAACAGTTCTCCATCCTCCAAATAACTTTATTTCTCAATTAATTTTTATTGATCTAAAAAATATTATTACACTGCACCTGTTTTTATTTTTAAAACCATCCTTCAGAGCATGAACATTCAAAATTATGGGTTAAGATTGATGGCATTAGAATGTTTGAATCAAGTAAATGATAGGAGCATTTTAGGTATTAAGTCATGTCGCGCTAGAACACCGACACTGGTCACCAAGGGCCCCACCATGACACTGGTCACCAAGGGCCCCACCATGTATCTGACCGCGACCCCCTCCTCCCCCCTATTCTGGTCTAATATTTAATTACAACGACCTTGACCTTAAACACTTTGTCAAAGTGCCAAATTTCAGAAAGATTAGTCTTTTGGATTCCGAGATAAGAGCCAAACCTTCATATTCTGTTTTTAGTAAAAGTGAGCTTGACCTTATAAAAATGTTTAGCCACTATATTGCAGATCTACATATCAAAGTGTATCACCACATCAAATTTCAGCCAGATATGAGTCTTTTGGATTCAGAGACACCCTCTGGATGGACAGATGGACAGACACAGTGATTACTACAGGGCACCTGTATCTTCGATGTGAGACCCACATTAGGCAGATACATCAATGTGTACGTACACACTATCATACAGTTCGTACAGCTCCACACCAGCATCAGGACCACAACATGCACCACTCACCAGCTAGAAACCTGTGACCTTGTACTGCTTCCATTTCTTAATATACTGGTGAACTCAAAGCATCCTCCCCGACATGGGGCCTCAACAAGGTAAACATAGGTAGTTTAACCCTCAGGGTAAAATTAACATACTGTATTTACTGTACTAGGCATAGCTATGACAGTTGGTAATATTCACTGTAAGTGAAATAATATTTCAAAAAATTAATCAAAATCTGAATGATCCATTAACTCATTCACCCCTGAAGACACATTAAAATCTTCCAATTCAAAGGTTGGAATAGTTCATTACGAATCTTCAGAGGTGAGTGAGTTTTATGTTTCTGATCACTGCATAAGGTTTATTGAGTACAAATCTATTGTAGGTGCTGTCATTATAAGATAGTGTACGTATGTCGGATTGGTTTTACAGATCACTAATATATGTTGTTAATATTGGCTTCTAATCGTGTCAGTATTCATGAAATTCTAATTCTACTGTGTATAGATCCATCAACAGTTCACAAGTACAGCAATCTACTTTGGCTACATTTCATTTTTTATCGAAACTCGAATTAAATCATCATCAAAATAGATTTGTCATGTTTTAATTTCAATTTAGCCTTTCCAAATATACCTATACAAACAAGTCATTGGAAAGATGTATTATACATATATATATCCATAAAATTAAATGTCATCTGCAATGTTTCACCAGTACAAAAAAAAAACGTTTAACAATCACTGTACAACTGTCAAAAATGTTAACTTTGAGTTTGAAACGTCTAACTGGCATGGCTATATAGCTTTATTCAATCTGAAACATCTAACTGGCATGGCTATATAGCTTTATTCAATCTGAAACGTCTAACTGGCATGGCTATATCGCTTTATTCAATCTGAAACGTCTAACTGGCATGGCTATATAGCTTTATTCAATCTGAAACGTCTAACTGGCATGGCTATATAGCTTTATTCAATCTGAAACGTCTAACTGGCATGGCTATATAGCTTTATTCAATCTGAAACGTCTAACTGGCATGGCTATATCGCTTTATTCAATCTGAAACGTCTAACTGGCATGGCTATATCGCTTTATTCAATCTGAAACGTCTAACTGGCATGGCTATATCGCTTTATTCAATCTGAAACGTCTAACTGGCATGGCTATATCGCTTTATTCAATCTGAAACGTCTAACTGGCATGGCTATATCGCTTTATTCAATCTGAAACGTCTAACTGGCATGGCTATATCGCTTTATTCAATCTGAAACGTCTAACTGGCATGGCTATATCGCTTTATTCAATCTGAAACGTCTAACTGGCATGGCTATATCGCTTTATTCAATCTGAAACGTCTAACTGGCATGGCTATATCGCTTTATTCAATCTGAAACGTCTAACTGGCATGGCTATATCGCTT